GAGCGGTGTTTCAGAAGTCAAGCGTCCCAGAGTCTCAGTTTAGCCATCTATCAGCCTCTGATGACCTAAAGTTCTCGAAGGGAACTGGCTCTGCTTTCCTGATTTTTTGCTGCACAATGGAGTTTTGAAAAATCTCGTGAACTTCAGTTCTTGCTGGAATTTCTTGTAAAGAAATATCAAGTTTCTCATGGGCTCACTCAACAAAGGTGGAGCCATTCCAGACCTTCTCACAAGGAAACCGGCCATGAGAGTACTGCACATGTATGTGGAAAACCCATTTTCCTAAGTCATTACTTTCCTTGTCTAGTCTTACAGTAAAATTAGTCTGCTGAGAAACAATTGCTGTAACTGAATTGAAAGCCTGCTAGACAACACTCATTCTGAAATACAGATTTAATAAAGTCATATATGAAACCAAACATGAATACCGACAGAGAGTCTTTATAATACTATTATATGTATTTTCTATTGGTAGGAGAAATTTCTGTGGTCTTTTTTTCAATCCCCCAGTTACAAAGCAAGCAAAGTACAACTGAATGCTTTCAGCTCGTGCAGAGAAACCCAGAGTGCCTGCTCTGTAGAAGACCAATAGAGACTTTCAGGTTTTCTCAGCAGGGTAAATGGGCCTATGTACAGTTTGCCATCAGCTTCCCTAGAGAGTTGCCAGAGACCACTCAGGCAGGGAAAACTCTTTCCTGCCTGGGTGAGAACTGCCCCTATCACCCTGTGGTGTCCCTTCCATCTTCTCCACAGGGGACAGAGCCCATGGGTGTCCCCCTGCCTGAGGTCTGGGCAGCACCTTTCCAACAACAGCAGCATCTCCTGGACCCTGTGCAGCCTTGACTGTGCCAGAGGCTGGAGGGAATGTACCGGGACCGATGGTGGCTGGTAGAGGCAGCAGAGAGCAGCATATGGCATGATCTCTGCATCTATGATCTGGATGAGGACATCTTAGTCCTGAGACAGTAATGGCTTTGGCTACAGCCACTATTAAATCTTGAAAAAACTTTATGAAGTAAGACTCTTCATTTCCTATTAATATAAAGGCTGAAATTGACATATTTTAGGGGATTTACTGAAATTATATGTCAAGTAGATACACTATCCTAGGAGAGTAGAATAAAAAAGACTTGTTGCCAAAAAAAAACCAAAACAAAAACCATAATACAATAATGCTGAATGAGAATCATATATCTGAAAGGGGCACAAAATTAGTGATGGCCCAGGGGTTTAATAGCAGAGGGATTTCTTTTGGTGTTCAGTTTATAAAAGAGTAAATTTTAGAAACCACATGGCCTTGTAACAAGAGATAAGAAAACCACCTTTTCAGGAAGGATGAAAAATAGTTATTTAAAAAATCATATTCTTTTAAAATATTTTTAAAAATAAAAGCCAAAGAGGAGCAACTATTTTGATTTGGTAAAGAAAAATCCACCAGCAGGATGGATAATCGACAACTTTGTTGTCAAACACTGTGAAAAAATTTTGTTTTTGCAAAAATTGAAACAGTTATTTGTCAATCACTATTTACTATAAACTCTGCTGTGCTGATCAAAGGGCTGGAAGTGTGCAATCCTGCATTGGAGGTATATAAGAGGCTGGAATTTCACCTGAGACATCGTTCCGATGTTTTTGAATCAAGAGTCTAAGCAAACTTTGCAGCTTTTCATGTTTCCTTAATTTTCAGTATCAACTTTTTTATTTTCTCTTGCTGATTGGAAACCAGAGCTGTTTCAAAGCTGAACTCAGTGTATCCCCATAAAGATTTCACATTGGGTGAAGTCTTTTTAGAGCCAAAATCTAATGCTTGTGCTGGAAACTGTATGTACTGTATTTTGTGCACAGAATAAGAAGGATTTCAAATACAACATGGGGAAAATTTAGGGAATTTGGGATAACTATGCCACGAGGTGGAGGTCTGACATCATTGAATCACATGGAACACAGACAAGAAAACTGAGATGATGTTAAGGGCTGCTTGTCCTCTTACAGTAATTATGAAATCAGATCGAACAAGCAGGGAGACATCAATGCTAGTTCTAGACCAGCTGGTAGTGGTTGTCCTACCCTTATTACATTTGCTAGCAGCCATCAGGGGGTTCTCAGGGTGCAAGTAATTGTAGGCCACATGCTGGTGGAAGCATTTGATGGGCTTACTCTTAGTTATTGCTGGCAAAGGACAGTAACCGTGAAGAAGCAAAGCAAGAAAAGATTATTTCTTTCCCCTTTTGTGTAAGGTTTTAAGGATTCTTGTCTTACTTGGCTACATCCTGAGTTCATAAATGATGGTCGCAATTTCAGGGGGAAAAGGTAGGAAGAAGGTAGAAGGAGAGATTGTAGCACTGTCTGCACTGTGTGGTTTGGAATGTCCCTGTCTAAGGTGTGCTGGGAAGTTTGGTGTTGGGCTGATGGCTAAGCAGTGTGACAAGACATCATGGGTGATGCGGTCTTGTCCACTACAGGCTGGGGCATGGTTTGCAGTCCCGCTGCTGCAGAGGGGCAGGTCTTCCTCCTACCTGCATCAGTATGTCATCAGGCTGTTCTTGCAGCAGCACTGCTCTGGGGCAGAGCTCTGACCCAACCACTCCTGTTGGAAGGCAGCTCCTCAGACAAGTCACTGCCCCCCTGCATCTCCTGCAGAAGCTTGCTGGCTGTCCTGCACCAGCCAGGACTGACCACAGAGGGCATATTCCAGAAAGTTGCAGAAGCTGCAGGAGGCCCTGGACCACAGCACAGATGTCGATACGGGAAGCCAGCCTGCACTGCTGTTGGCTGTCATCCTCAAGGTGACTGATTCTGATCTGCAGCTGGAAGAGTTCCTGGCTAGGCTGGAATCTTCAAAGGCTCACAAGGATACCCTGGCATTGCAAGGCTTCCTCTGAGGCACTCCCTTGAAGCTCCTCATCAGGGGCCTCTGTGAGGACTGGATGGCAGCAAAGCAGACGGCCAGCAGGGAGGAAGAGATCTGTGACCTGCGTCATAGGCAGCATGGGCAGCAGCTTGCCTCTTGTGCAGGGACTGGGAGAAGCCTGGAACTTGCCTGAAAGGGAGTGGTCTCCTTAAAACACTGTGGTTTTGGGCAGCTTGCTGTTGCAGGTTTGGGGGCAGATTTTGGGGGAATGGACAGGGAGCCTTTGTGTGGGCTTGTATGATAGCAGGCAATGGGAGGCAATGACATGCTTCCTTCCTCAAGCACAGGAGCCCTGACTGCTGGCTGAGAGCACATGGAAAACTGCACAACACAGCTGCTGGCTGTCCCTTCCCCTGTGCGAGTTTTGGGAGTGGCTGTGGGCAACATTTGCTCGATGAACGTTGCCTTGCTGTCCCCTCAGGGTGGACAAGAAGTTGTCTGCAGAAAACTTCCTCCTCCTCAAGCAGCTGCTTGCAGTGCTCCGACATATTGGCCAGCACATGCCCACCAGCAGAATGACCTCCAGCAGCCTGGCCGTCTGCCTGGGCCAAACTTGCTGAGCCTGCTCAAGGAGGACCTGCTCAAGGCCATGCTAGTGGTGACTGAGAAGGTAAAGCTGCCTTGAGCAGCCAGGTGCAGCCTCCCCAGCCCACCCGAGCCGGCCGCCCAGAGGGCCTTGGCAGCCCCTTCTATTCAACAAATGCTGGTGGAGTAGCTGCCTGGAAGAGCTGCCCCACAGCCACAGCCTTCTATGCAGAGGCAAGGCTCAGGAGTCATGCATGACATGCTTTCAGGCACCTGGGCTGAGACCAAGACTTTGATGTGTGCAGATGACAGTGCTGGAGAAGTTCATGATGGAAGACTTTGATGAGATCTTCGGGGAGGAGTTGGCTCAGGCAACCAAGAATCTTCATAAGTGAGCTGTGCATGGAAACGTACCCTTGGGGTGGCTCTAGGACAGGTGCTAAGGCCTTGAGAACTGGAAGGGTGTCCTTCTCGAGGGGCCTGAGCGTTTCTTCCTATGCTCCCCAGGACAGATTGTGACCACAGCATCTCCATTTTGCAGTGTGTGACACCTTTTGGTAATACCAGAACCAGTCTTGGGGAGCATCTTCTCATTCTTATCTGACCCCAAACTTCAGGAAGGCATACCCTAACATTGTGTTTAGAGTTACCTGTGCTATTTATTTTGAAGAAACACCAGAAACAAAAAGATGAGGTGCTAAATGTTATGACTTTTCCTTCTTCAACCGCCTTTATTCATTTTTTTCTTTTCTCCAACAAAAGGATCTCCCAATATACAAACTGAATGTGTCTGAAAAGAGTTTCCTAAGTTTTAAAAATTACTGTGTAATATTTTTCCTGTGCTTTGGGTTTTTCATTTTGGTTGGTTGGTTTTGATTTAGGTTTCACTTTAGTTTGGTTTTGTTGTTTATTCATTTATTTGCAACCTACCTGTATTGTTCATGGGAACTATGCATCTGGTATTACATACTCTTTCTATCCATAAGTTGCTCTGTGTTTCCATTTCTTCCTTCTGTCCTTTTATAATCCTCATTTTTACCTTAATGCATAGGTCCTTTCCCCCTCACTCCCCTTTCTGATTAAATTGAACTCTAATTCTGTCAAGGAAACTTTCCTGTCTGACCATTCAGAGGCCACCCTGGCAGTCACACTCCTACCACCAGAGACTTTAACTGCTAGGACAGAAGTCCCTTTGCTGTTAAGCAGAAATTGTAGAGAGCCAATCTTCCACTTGTGACTCCTCTAAAAGCATCACTGGGGTGCTTTTTCAGAACCATTTTCAGGGTCCTGGCTACATCCTGCATGAAAAGGCACTGCTGTAATGACCCAGATGCGACGGCCTCTTGCAGTGCTGGGGAAAGTCCAGGGGCTGAGGACCTCTCTGGGTGATACTGGGACCCCTGTGGAGAGCAACCTCTGACATGCTGTGTTGGTCTGAGTACCACAGGGGTGGACATCTTATTGTGATGTCACAAAGTAGTGGAGGCTGATGTCACTGGCAGTGGACTGTGACATCACCAGATTAGATTGTCACCATGTGTCCCTTACTGCTTAAATTAGGGTGCTGGCAGAGCCTGGCCTGCTCTGGCTTACGCCTGGACTCCTGTTGAACATGTCCGTGAGTGTTGAGCCAGGCTTTTCTCACAGCTGGGTGCTGCCATTGGCAGCTCTCAGTGCCCAGCCTGGAGCCACTAGTAGTGTTGAGTTTCTTGGCTCAGGCCTGAGTTGCCAAGCCTGAGTTGCTTGGCTCAGGCAATCAAGCATCTTGATAAGTGAGCTGTGCATGGAAACGTACCCTTGGGGTGGCTCTAGGACAGGTGCTAAGGCCTTGAGAACTGGAAGGGTGTCCTTCTCGAGGGGCCTGAGCGTTTCTTCCTACGCTCCCCAGGACAGATTGTGACCACAGCATCTCCATTTTGCAGTGTGTGACACCTTTTGGTAATACCAGAACCAGTCATGGGGAGCATCTTCTCATTCTTGTCTGACCCCAAACTTCAGGAAGGCACAGACAAGGCCACAGAAACAGAGTGGAACTGCCCCATCTGCCGTGATACTCGAGATGACCTTGCTTATGTAATGCCCTGTCTCCACCAGTTCTGCCTGGGCTGCATTATGCGTTGGGCAGAGATGCAAATAGTGTGCCCACTCTGCAGAGACCTGATAGAGTCTGTAAGGTTTTCTGTGCAGACAGATAGCTATATAGACTGTGTCTTCACAGCCCCCGAAGATGCCAGCAGCTGGGCAGGAATAACTCTTGGACAGCTAGTTAGAAACAACCCCTATCACTTTGCAGCATCCCCTTCACGTTCTCCACGGGGGATATTGCCAGCAGCTGAGCCAGGGGGTGCAGGAACAGAGCCCGTGGGTGGACTCATGCCTAGGGTGTGGGCAGAACTTTTCCGAAGAGACGAACATCTCCTTGATCCTGTGGTGCCCTGGCTGCGGCAGGAGCTGGAGGCAATATATGGAACCAGGTGGTGGATGGCGAGGATTGCAGAGAGCATCATCCTGCATGCTGTGTCCATCTGTGGTCCAGCTGCGAATGTCTTGGTCCAGGTGCTGCAGGACTTCCTCGAGGAACATACAGAACCTCTGATCCATGGCACCATCAGCATCATTGTTGACCAGTGCAGTGAGGAGGCTCACAGGCTGCTGCACTCCCCTGCTGTCCCAGAGGACGACAGCAGCTCTGTGGCCACCGCCAGCAGCACCCAGCGCGGTACTCCCGCCCCCCATTCCACCCCTGCCAGAAGCTCTACGAGCTCCAGCACAACGCAACCTGCCCTCGGCAGCCCCCACGCGTCTGCTCCCGTCCCTGCAGACCAGGAAGAACTGCAGGAGGCGGGGATGGCAGAGGAGGAGGAGCTGGGGGAGGAGGCGATGACAGAGGAGGAGGAGTTGGGGGAGGGAGAGGAGCTCTGGGAGCAGGAGGAGCTCGGGGAAGAGGCGGGGGAACCTGGCAGGGTGGAGGAAAATAACCTTGAGGGCATCCCCGGCATCCATCAGGGGGGTATTCCCGCCCTCCCCCCAGCCCCTGGCAACAGCCCTGTAGGCTCCAACGTAGAGGACCGACTCAGCACATCGGAAGCTGTGCTCCACAGCCCACACCCCCCTGTTCCCGTTCCTGCAGAGCAGGAGGAGTTGGAGCAGGCAGCAGCGGCAGGTCCCTCTGCCCAAGGCGGCAGCCACAGCCCCTCCGCTCCCAGCCGGGGCCGGGACGGGGACCCTTTCCGCAGGAGGCCTCGGCGTGCCCCAAGGAGGAGAGCTGCCAGGTTCTCGGACTCTCCCCAGCCCTCCAATAGACCACCCCATCCGCAGCACTAGCCGGGCTTCATTCAAGAGAAAGGAAATATATTGCTATTTCCCTTACAAAGTCTCTGGGTGCTGCTTTCTCTACCTTCTCCTGGTATCTTTCCCTGACCCTTCACCCCACCATGAGCCAAGGCCACCTGGAGCCCCGGGACGCTATTGCCAGTGCTCCTCCCACAGGAATTCCTGCTGCAACCGCAACAATGGAGGATGTTATAAGTAAACTGAAACTTAGGCAAAAATATAGCAGCAAAATTTATTAAAGATTTATATAAATTGCAAATAAGCAAAACAGCGTGCTGGGCTGCCGGGGAGACCCCTGCTCCACACACGGCCAGCAAAGCAGAGGGCAAAACCAGTATTCTTTATACTATTGTCAATTCCCTTCCCATAGTCACTTGTTATCCTTCTTTTGGATCCGAGTTCGCAAGTCTGGTTCTGGTTGGTTCTTTTGCAAACTCGCTTTTAGTTGCCAGGTACTTCCCTTTCCATAGTCTTAGGTAATTTTTAGAACTTGAGGCCTACTGTGTGAGTCTCTTCCAGATGTCCATCTTGGATACTTTTTATCGTCTTCATTCTTGACCCTTTGATCCTTGTCCTTCCCTTCGTTACTTTAAGCGTACACTTTTAGACAATATACAAAAGACTTTTTCAGTAAGACATAACAACTTGTTTTGTCAGCTTAGAAACTGCAGCTGCAGGACTATCAGCTTATAGTACTGACAGATTAATTGCCCATTCTGTAACTTACAGTCCACTGGCCTTAACAGAACCTTGATTACAAATATATATATATATAAATATAACATGCAATACTATTAAAAGAGTAAATTACTACAACTATTACAACTATTACTACTACTAATTTGATGAGTAAATTATGTTACAACTACTAATCTATTACAGAGGAGTTTCTGGAAAAGCCTGAAAGGGGAGGATTGCATTTGCAAAGGAGAACATGCCAAATCGAGGCTGCTGGTGCCTGTGCCCATATGGAATTACTGTGTTGCTCCCTGCATTGCCATTCTCTGCTGCCAAAGGGACAGGAGGGACCTAGCAGCCCCCTGGTCAGAAGGGTTTCTGGGAAAACAGGCTGAGGAGGGACTGGTCCTGCCAGCCAGTCATGATATGCCATGGGACTGAAAGAGTAGTGTCCTTTCCAGGGTACATGGCACTGGGGCTTCAGAGCACAAGTTCTCTGCATCCAAACACCACTTTGTAGGGATAACTAGAGCTCTGTGGCTGATCACAGCACTCTCTCAGAGCAGATTTGCTCTGACAAAAGTAAATCGTGGGCGTGATGCTCCATGAAAAGCTACAGTCTCATGAAGGGATGTGCTTCATTGAAGACACTCCTCAGTTGAGCCCTTGACTGATCCTTAGGAACTGTCCAGTGGCCTTCTTGTAGACAGGTTATACATTTAGGAGAGAGAGAAACTTTTGAAAGTGAAAAAGCAGGGGGTTTGCAAGGTAAACTACATGAAGAAGACAGCCACGATCAGAAAGGGTAAAGGAGCACTAGCAGAAGCGTATGCAACTAAGGCCGTCATGTATAGCATGTCAACTTACTACTGCCTCCAAAAAAACCCAACAGTACCTCTAATCTTTTGTATCCATGCAGTGAAGAACTAGAATACACAGTCTCAGATATTGGAATACTAGCAGCCCTTCAGAGCAGACTAGATTTCACAGAAACCACAGGGGGTTAAGTGAAATTCATCTATCAAAGCAGGAAAAGGAAAATAAATATTCATTTCCACATATCTTAATTAAGCCCTGCACTGTTGTCTTCAGATGCTTTCATTATTCTTCATAGCAATCAAGACCGCACTAGCCCAAAATTCTATCTTTTCCATCATGATGAATGAGTCATACATGTATCCCTTAATGAGTGTCTTCAGCATTATGGTTGTTTCTCATATGCTTTTGAATCTGTTTGCTCAATGTCTACTCAGAGTGGTATGTAGCCAACTGGGGAGAGCAGCGAGTTGTTCTCTAGGTGTAGAAGAGCCATATGGATTATATGATGCTGGCTGAAACACAGCTTCCAGCATGACAAGGCCATGGCCTCTGCTCACCGTGAACACAAGAGGGTGCTCATTACTTTGTGGAAAAATTTGCTTTTGGAAGTACTGTGTTCCTGTTTTGGAATGGGAGATCTAGAGCGAAGTCTTCTGTCCTAATGAACTATGAGCTGAAAACTGAAGAAGCATGATGAACCTAAACATATTGCCTGAAACCTCTGATGGTACTAATCAAATAAGCTTCCTTAACAGTTGAAGTTGAAGGTACAGATAGATATTATGCTTTACTGTTTGCATTTCTTTACCTTCTTTCTTTACCTTTAAGGAGAGTAGCATTAAAAAATTATGCACTATGATTGTGCTGTTGTAGCATCACTGTGGCAGGAACTAGATATTTGGATGAAGTTGCTGCAGATTTCTCCTGGGTGATACTTCTGCAAAGCCATTGCAGCTCAAAAATAATGCTGGGGACCCTTCATGCCCCTAGAACTGTAAATGAGATTTTCTACTCCCTTTTGAACCCGGTTAGTTATCTCATTATGACATTATGCTCCCCCAGGCACAGCTGATGAATCTGCTGATGAGTTCTTGCCTCCTGTTTTAAAAATACACCAGAAGCATGAAAAAATGGAGTGTGCCTGGTGTATCTGTATTTGTTGGGGATTGTTGTGGTTTAACCCAAGCCAGTAACCAAGAACCATCCAACCACTTGCTCACTCTCCCCCAGCAGGATGAAGGAGAGAATTGAAAGGGTAAAAGCTCGAAAACCTGTGAGTTGAAATAAAGAAAGTTTAACAGGGAAAGCAAAAGCACACAAACAAAGCAAATTAAGGAATTCATTCACCACTACCCATCGGCAGGCAGATATTCAACCAACTCCAGGAAAGCAGGGTAACTAACTTGGGAAGACAAATGCCATCACTCCAAACTTTCTCCCCTTCCTTCTTCTCCCTACTTCATACACCAACCATGATGTCATATGGTGTAGAACATACATTTGGTCAGCAGGGGTGAACTTTCCCAGCTGTGTCCCTGTAATGTACTCTCTGCAGAAACTGACTAAGAAGAAATTTGTTTGCCAATGGACAAGCAGCAAAAAGAATGGCAGCAACCTTTGATGCCTGCAAAAATGCTTTGATTGAACATGCCCAACTGCACACTCCTAAGCAAGGATATTGTTTTGAAACAGAAGTAATAATTCTAGATGATGTAGTCTCATGGCGTTGTGACACACAGCTGGGCCAAAAAATCAGAAAGAACCTGTAGGATTTTGATCTAAAGCATTACAAGGCTCTGCTACACATTATACCTGGATTGAAAACAAATTCTAGGTATACTTTGATCAGAAGAGACAGAGGGGTGTCACTGTATGTAATAGCAGGGTTAGAATGTTTGGAGCCCACAGCTGGCAGTGTCACAGTTGGGAGCCTCTGAGTAAGAATCAAGGGGCAAACAAATAATGCAGCTATATTGTGGGAGTCTGCCATAGACCTCTCAGCCAGGATGATGATAGACAGAATTATTCTTTGAGGAACTAAGGGACACTTCCAAATCAACTGCCCTCGTCCTCATGGCGGACTTCAACTTTCCAGAAATTAATGGAGAGCATCACACAGCTGGTACAACCTGGGCCAGAAGATTCCTAAAAGACCTGGATGACAGCTTTATGGAATAGGTCCTAGAGGACCCAGCTTGGAAAGATGCCCTCCTTGATCTGCTGCTTATCAACAAAGGGGATCTTGTGAGTGAAGTGGAGACTGGTGGCCGTCTTGGCCACAGTGACCATGAAGTGACTGAGTTTAAATTTTCTGTTGACAGGAGGAAAAGTGCCACCAAAACCTCAAGTCTGGACATGAGGAGAGCAGAATTCAGGCTGCTAAGGGAATTAGTAAGTAAGGTCCCCTGGAAAAATGTTTTTGCAGCTCCATCAGTGCTAGTCACTTTTCAAATGACTCCTAAGGGCACAGGAGCAGGCAATTCCCAAATGTTGGAAGTCAAGCAGGTGAGGCAGAAGACCAGCTTGGCTGAGCAGAGATCTTCTCTTGGAAATAAGGCTAAAAAGGAAGGCGTATGCCCACTGCAAACAAGGTCAAGAGACATGAGAAGAACACAGAGATGCTGCTTGCTGCTGTAGGGAGAAAATTCATGCAGTCAAAGCTCAGCTGGAGTTGCAGCTGGCCAGAAATGTGGGGAACAATAAAAGGAGTTTTTTTCAAATATAGTAATGGCAATAGACAGCATAGAAATATTGTTGTCCCATTACAAGATGAGGATGGTCACCTCCCAACCAGGGACAGAGACAAGGCAGAGGTGTTTAACACTTTCTTTGCCTCTGTCCTCAACACAGATGACAGACCAAGAGGGTCTCAGTGCCCTGAGCTGAGGGACCATGACTGCGAGAATGATCAACTCCCAGTCAACCCTGAAATTGTGCAGGATCTCCCGATCCAGCTGCATCCCTGCGAATCCATGGGACCTGATGGGATTCATCTCAGAATCCTCAAAGATCTGGCTGATGTCTTTGTGAAACCATTCTCGATGATTTTTGAGTGGTCTTGGGAATTCCAGAGAGGTCCCAGCTGACTGGAAGCTGTCCTGATTTTCAAGAAGGACAAGAAGGAGGACCCTGAAAGGGTCACTTCAGGCCTGTCAGTCTCACTTCAGTGCCTAGTATAAAGTTATAGAGAAGAATTTTCTGGAAAGTATTGAAAAACACCTGAAAGACAATGCAGTCATTGGTCACAGCCAGCACAGCTTCAGGAGAGGAAAGTCCTGCTTATCAAACCTTATTTCCTTTTATGACAAGGTAAGCCACACAGTTGATCAGGAGAAGCCAGTTAATCTAACTGTTTTGGATTTCAGTAAAACTTTTGATACTGTCTCTCACAGGATCCTCCAGGACAAAATGTCCAGTCCACAGCTGGATAAACACATCATATGGTGGGTGAGCAATTGGCTCATGGGTCAAGCACAGAGGGTAATAATGACTGGGGTAACATCAGACTGGTGACCTGTCACTAGTGGGGTTCCACAGGGCTCCATCCTTGGCCCAGTGCTCTTCGGCATCTTCATAAATGACTTGGATGCAGGACTGAAAGGGATACTAAGCAAGATTGCAGATGACATAAAACTGGGAGGAGCTGTTCACTCCCTTGAAGGCAGGGAGGCCCTGCAGAGAGACCTTGACAAATCAGAAAACTGACCAATCACCAACCACAGAAAGTTCAACACGGGAAAGTGTCAGATTTTGCACCTGGGATGGGATAATCCTGGATGTTTGTACAGACTGGGAATGAGATACTGGAAAGCAGAAAGGGACCTGGGGGTCCTGGTTGACGACAAGTTGAATAAGAGTCAGCAGTGACCTGGCAGCCAGGAGGGCCAACTGTGTCCAGGGGGGCATCAGGCAAAGCATCGTCAACCGGCTGAGGGAGGTGATTGTCCTGCTGTGCTCTGCAGTGGTGTGGCCTCACCTCGAATATTGTGCACAGTTTTGGGCACTGCAATATAAAAAAGATACTAAACTATTAGAGAGCATCCAAAGGAGGGCCATGGGGATGAAGGGCCTTGAGGGAAAGCCATATGAGGGAGGAGCAGCTGAGGTCACTTGGTGTGTTCAATCTAGAGAAGAGGAGACTGAGGGGAGACATCATTGCAACTTCCTCGTGAGGGGAAGAGAAGGGCGGGCACTGATCTCTTCTCTGTGGTGACCAGTGACAGGACCTGAGGGAATGGCCTGAAGTTGTGTCAGGGGAGGTTTAGGTTGGATATTAGAAAGAAGTTCTTCACCCAGAGGATGACTGGGCAGTGGAAGAGGGTCCCCAGAGAAGTGGTCACAGCACCAAGTGTTTGGACAATATCTTGGGCATATGGTGTGACTCTTGGGGAGGGTCTTGTGAAGGGCTAAGAGTTGGACTCGATGCCCCTTGTGGGTCCCTTCCAATTCTGCATTTTCTGTGGTTCTGTGATTGCAAGAAACTGAAAGAATCACAGGGCAAGGTAGTGTGACAGTACACACACCCACCCCCATTAATGGGTATGCAACTGATAATTCTGTCAGTGCTCACATGGGAGTGGCCCAGGCAGCCACATATTAGAAACAAACATTATTTAATGCAACAATTTTTACCGGAAAACTGCATGTAACCAGTTCACATGCCACTCTTCTGGGAACTATGCCTTTTAATAACACCCGTGTCAGTAGAACCTTCTCTCCCCAGAGAGCTCCCTGCATCTCCTGTGGAGGAAGTGCTCCTTTGTGACAGGTTAACAGAAGAGCACAGGAATGGTGCCTGGTTTGCAGATGGGAGTGCTACATGCACAGCCACTGGACACAGATGATGGAGAGCAGTTGTATATGTTCAGTTCCAGGAATCATACTAAGGCAAATGGGTGTACAGGCACCTAGTCAGTGAACTGAATTTGTTGCAGCATCCCTGCCGTCTTGGAAGGGCAGGCACATTACTCATACCGTGGCAATTGAGTTGTATATAAAAGCCTAACAATAAAGTGGGGTCAGTGGCCTTTGACTGTGGCAGGTTAGTTAAATTGGTCCTTAGTTACATGGTGATACGTACTCACTGCCATGGATACAGTGTCAGGATTGGTCTTTTCTAAACCCACCAAATGCCAACCAACACAGCATGATTGAAGCATTAGAACAACTCCTTCATCAATAGAGACCTCCTCATCAAATACAGAGAGACCAAGGAACACACTTTAGTGCATGTAATGTCCAAAACTGGGCTCAAAGCCTGGGAATAAAGTGGCTATTCCACATTGCCCACCATCCCAGGCAGGATTGAAAGAAAGATTAGGACGTTGAAGGGATAATTGAAAAAGTTAACTAGTACTAAAACTTTACAGCATTGGAGTACACCTCACTAAAGCAGTTTTTTGTTAAACAATTGGAATATTCACAACTAAACACTCTGTAATCGTATCACATCATCTGCAGTACAAAACATTGTGAGGATTGAGGTTCTTCAGATCATGTCTCTGCCAAAATATTAACTACAGAATCACAGAATAGGCTGAGTTGGAATGGACCCACAAGGAGCATCGAGTCCAACCCTTAGCCCTGCACAAGACCATCCTGAAAAGTCTACAGGGGAAATGGAATTCCTGGAATTCCACCAATGGATTGTGTGGTGGGACCACAGCTTGCTAGTCTAGATATGAAAATGCATGTAATAATGCCTGACAGTGCAGTATGGTTCTCTACTCCAACTTCTCCCCTTATGTTACATCCTCTGTTAATATCAAATTCTCAAGTTCTTGTATGTTCAACAAATACCTGGGCCTTATCTAGTGGTGCCATGAACCCACCATCAGATTTTTCAGTCTGAAAAAGTGCAAACCAAACCTCTTCAATCTGTGTGTGCAATCACCCCCCACCTCAGGTTATGAGACCTGGAGTCATTTTAGCTTAAGGAGCTGGAGCAACAGCATATGTGTTACTGGAAGGCGATGACACTCCTATTTTCCTTCCTTGTCACAGGTTGGCTTGTCATGCTTTGTAGAGGTTTACAACATAGAGCACGTGGAGTATGCCTTCACTAAGGTTTAAATTGGACATCAAAGGCAATTTTTGTCCTGAATGTGGAAGTAAGTGCACTACACTTGAGAACCTTACCAATCAGTTGCTGATGAGCTACCTCCTGTCTCAACACCACGTACACTGCTCCGAGTTTGTCAGCACGTGCTGCTCCAACATGGCTGCTGAATCAGCTGCAATGAGAGGAATATTTGACATTGACAGGACTTCATACACTGACTGAGGCAACCTATCTGTGGTGCCTTGTTTGCTGGATGGTTTAATTCCCTGTTGAGAGGACGGGGATATTTGTCTTAGACCATTATATGTTTATTCCTTTCTTCCTATATGCTTCATAAAGTGCCTCTGCAAATTATCCTGTCCTACACTTCCAAACCCAGCACCAGCGGTCTCTTGAGCGAGGGGCTGGTATGTTGGGAGGAAGGGTTTGAAAGCAGGACAATGGCAAGGAGGATGGCAGATACACTAAAATGACCTTGCAGCTGGGAATGCTGAGGTCTGAAAAACAGCAGTGTAGGAAACCCCACCTATTATGCCTACTGCTGTTTATCCTCTGTCTGTTTTGAGAAGTAGAATCTCTATGTAGAGATAACATGGGTGTTTACAGTCTTGGAGGCACTCTCATGGACAGGCTTGAGCTCCCTGTCTTGGGAGAGAGATCCAAAGTCAGAGATCCTAAAGAGCACAAGGGAGAACACATCCTAGGCCTTGGATAAATTGCTGCAAACCACAGACTCGCCGTCCTTCAGGATGGGCTGAGCCTAACAGTGCTGGTGTTCCTGCTTGTGTGTCTCTGCCCAGGTGTTGCTTCGGGATCCTCCAGTTAGCGAGGTAATGAAATAAATTTACTCTCTGCATTTCAGCTGTGGTTTGTAGTTGTTCAGGCTTCCTGCCTGTGTTGGGTCACACAGTCCCCTCCCAGTTCCTTGTGCACTCCCAGCCCACTTGATGCTGGGGCAGTATGAGGAGCAGAAAAGACCTTGGCTCTGTGTAAGTACTGCTCAGCAATAACAAAAATATATCTGTATTATCAACCCTGTGTTCAGCACCAATCCAAAACATCGCCCCGTACTAGCCACTGTGAAAACAATTAACTCTAACCCAGACAAAACCAGCACAAAGGTTTACTTAGAGTGCTGGCCTCGTATGTAGTTAATACCATCCATCAAGTTTGACATGCAGTCAATCTTCTGCAGAAAACTCTTAGCAATCAAAATCCTGTATTGCCATAACACACATCTTGCAGATAAATATAATTACTATCATTACTATGTCATGGTACATTGCTAATATTGCATAAAAAACAACTTTGAAGGTATTCAATAGGATGTTTTACTGTTTAGGGCAAAGACACAGGCTAAGGGATAAATACAATATAACACCTTGATAATTTAGACTGAAAGCAACTTTTTTTTCTGTTTGGGGTTTTTTTTCCAGCTTGTGTTTTTGAAAGTTAAAAACAGCATACTTGAAAAAATTGGAAATAGAAATCAAGTTTTGCAAAATTCCATTTACTAGATAAAGTAGAGAAACCCTGTTTTCATTTGTTACAGCAAACTGCCAGTTGGATAGGGCTGAAATCTGTCCTACTATGGAGCACTTTTTATCTTTGGCTGTGTTTTGTGGATTTGGCAAGCTAAGATTGGGACACCTCCTCTGAAGCCCTGAAATATATGGACATAGCCTTTTCCAGTGACCTGGTATTAGTGAGCTTTCAGCATTTTTTACAGTATCTGCAGTTCTATTTTCATTTAACAGAATAAAAGACAAAATCATAGAAATTCTCATGTAAGGTAGCATGTATATGATAGTGTTCAGTCACATATATAGTTAAAGTTACATGTTTACTAATAAATGGCTGATTTGAAGACTGGGAAGGGTATAAAAGCAAATGTAAGGGCCACTCTCTTATGCAGTCTCGAATGTTAAAATCTATTACTTCAAACCCTGGTCCATAAACCCTGGCATTAATGTTGATTTGTGAGGGCTTGATTGCAAGACAGTGGTCCACAGTGGTAGGTGATTTCTTTCTTCTTAAATCCTGAATCTTTTGGTTTATATATATATGTATATATATATATATGTCTGTCTCAACAGAGATGTATCAAAGATGTAACTCCAAAAATGGCCTCTCCAATGTCAAATGTTTTTCTTTCTTTGTGTAAGGCCTTATTTGTTATTGTAACAGATTTTGAAAATCTTTTCACAAGTGCTGGATCTGCACCTTTTTCAGCAGACAAGTGAGGGCTATCATCTGAGCCAATAACATTTTTTAAAGTGCCTCATTTTCCTGAAGTAGTAAAAGCTATATTTTTTTTTTATAGCTGAGACCATTTTTAGGCATCATGTCCAGACAAGCCCAACAGGTATAAAATTTCTTTGGCTGACCTGGAGAGCAGAACACACGGTTGAAGTAAATTCCTGAACCTCCTTCCTTTGAGAGCATCAATCGAAGAAGGACAGACCATGGTCATGGCAAGATTTTCCTAGGGAAAACACGGGACTGAGGGATTGTGGGGTGGAAAAAAATGAAACTCCGCCAGGTACAGATTTCTCTGCCTTTATCTTGTCCCAGGCACATCGCATCGGCAAGCACCCAGACACACTCGCGCACATGCGAGACACACGTCGTGCTGTCTGGCAAACCTCCTCGTCGGGAAGGGCGCCAGCGACGCGAAATGCAATCCAGTGGCTTCCCCCTCCCTCCTCCCAAGAAGAGTTATTTTAAAACTTCAGGCATAGTTCTCGGTAGTAACAGTGATCAGGGATAAAAGGGGAAGGGAGGAAGTGCGGGAGGGAGCGTGGTAACAAGGGAAGTGTTAAAACCCTCCGAGGCTGTTGCAGAGCGGCTGCAGCAGCAGCAGCATCATTAGCAGGGTGAGCCAGGACGGGAGGGCAGCGATGGCTACGGGGCCGGGACAGTCCGGGGAGCGGCGGCGGAGCTGCGGAGAGGCACCTTGCGGGGGTGGTCCCGGCTCCGCCCGGCGGAGGGCACGGCCGGGGCCGGCGCTACCCGAGCGGAGCGCGGAGCCGCAGGGAAGCGGGCGTCCGAGGGGGCTGGCACGGCCCCGCCCGGCCCAGACCGAGCCCGCAGCAGCCGCCCGGGAGAGCGGCGGCAGCCCACCATGTCGCTGCCGGCGGGGATGCCGGAGTCCCGCGGCGCCCCGCACAGCTTCGCCCCGCTACCCCGGCCAGCTCAGGGCTCGCTGTCCGCCGGGGCCGCCGCTCTCCCGCCGCCGCCGCTCCGCCCAGACGAGCTGCAGCGCGGTCGCCCATACCCATACCCATGCCCATGCCCATGCCCCCCGGGCGCGCCGCCCGCCGTCTCGCTGCTCGGGCTGGCGCTGCTGCAGGTCGGCCTGGGCAACGCCCTGGTGGCGCTGAGCGCGGTGGTGTGGCTCAGCAGAGCCGGGCAGATGAAGAACGCGTGCTCCATCTGGGCCGGCTCCTTGGTAAGTAGCAGCTGCAGGTCCGGCGGGGCGTGCGGGGCACCTGCGGAGCACCTGCGGGGCAGAGCGGCCGCCGGTCCCGCTCCTCAGCGCCCGCTTGGCAATAGGGTGCAGGTAATGCTTTCGCTGACACTTTAGCCAGGGTGTTAGCTTGACCCCAGATAGGGGAGTTATTTCCTGACGTGCATTTTTCCCCCCCCCCCCCGCAAGTAATTTTACGCAATTAGAAACAGGATTTTCGAAAGTCACTGTGTATGTAGATGTTATATATTGCTTTATTGCATTGTGTTGTGTATTGATTTTATGCGTTGCGCCTTTCCTCTCGTGACAGAGAAAACAGCAATGTTCCAGGGGGAAAAAAAATGGATGGGCTTGAGACAGTTTTGTAAAGAGCCCTGAGAGAAGTTATTCCATCTCGTGTTGAACTCTGCTTTAAACCATAGCTTTATAAATGCAGAATATATATAATAGTTTGTGTTGCAGAAGCTCGGCAGTGGTAAGCAGAAATCAACAAGAGTAGAAGGGTCAGGGTGACTGGTCGCAATTTCTGGGCCCTCGAGCAATGAGCAAGTTGTGTTCTCTGGCTGGGACGCTCAGCTCCTGCTGCTAGTGTGAAGAGCATCAGCCTATCCCTCAGTTCAGACATTTAAATTACATTGCCAGTGTTGTTCACCACCTGTGAAAACATGCTCCATGATCTGTGGTTTGGGGATCACACAGTCCTTGGGCAGCGGGGGGAAATCCAGGCCATCCAAATGGGTATTTTAGATATCTCTTGTGATCTTTCATCTTTTTTTTTTTTTCTTTACTCTAGGCTAAAAGAAGTTTAAGTATATGTATAAGTTTAAGTATATAAGCTCTGGACTTTCTTTGAACTCTGCACACAGAACCATGCTTATGCTTTTAAAAGGTTTTAAAATTGCACATGGAAAATAGAAGTATCAGTATCTTTAATAATGAAGAAGGGTGTTGTTTTTGTTTGGCATTTTTTAATGCTATCTCTGAAACAATAGTACACTCGGAAAAGTTACTGAAAATACCTTGTGGGTGTAACAACATGAGTGAAAATTTTAGCCCAGAAGCAACCTGGAAAAGTAGTGGTCATTAAAAGCTGGAATTGATCTGTTTTGAGTGGGGGTTTGGCTTGGTTTTTTTCATTTGTTGTTTAGTTTTTGGGGTTTTTTCATTATGGATGCGACATGATGACTTGTTAAGTGCAAGCCAGGAAAGCTTTGAGAAAGACTTTTCTTATCTTAAAGCTTTAACAAATGTAATGAATTAAGTCTTGTTTTCCTTAACGCAAAAAAGCAATTCACATCAGTACTGGTGTGTTTTGTTATAAAATTGTGTGACCACTTTGCAGTCAGAGAATTCAAATAATACTTTGATATGAAACTGCAGAGTGTATGTGGTTTTGCAACACCAGTGATGATATCAGTAGGTGTTTTCATCAAGTCGTATTTATGCTAGATCAGATTGATCATGTCAAGTGAATGAAGTTGCAGAAGGAACTTAATAAAAATGTTAGTGAATGACTTCCTGCTTGTTCTAGTCTTCTTGTTTTTTTTTTAGTGTAGGAGCTTGATGTCTATTGGCTTAGTCACAAAGATTTGGTATGCTATTTGTTTCAGTTCTACAGCAATTCTTTCTCCTTCCTTGGTTGTTTTGCCCTCTAAGATAAAGAAAGTCGTGGGGTTCAGTTCTGTGATTCAGCAAGTTTGGTCTAACAAGTGCTGTTGCAGAAGGATGTACTTTTACTTCTATTCTTTCCTCATGCTGATACTGGCATTAATCTGATTAAACAGCAAGTCATTTCATGGAGATAGTGCTGCTGCTCTTCGCTGGTTTTGGTAGGGTTCATGCTCTGGGTTTTAGTTCACCAGAATGGTCAGAAGAGGGCCGGATCAGCACAATGGAAGAAAGAGGTAGGCACTTCATGAAGTGCTGGAGTGGCGACACAAGGTGGAGACACAGAGCCAGTTTTTAGATTTGCTTGGCCATGCTGCAGAGAACAAGTGCTCAACTGGCTGAATATAATTATTTTAGGCAATTGTGGAGGTCAGAGTTGCTGACATACTACTTGCCCCCATGGATGTTTTCTGGGAGGAAAAAAATAAGAAAAGAATAGTTTTAAATTTGGTTGTGTTATTTCACAGGATGTTTTTAGGAATGAAAAACCTCATAAGCACAGATTGTTATTCTCTGCTTTAAAGTGCATCTTCATATCTTCCCAATGTTGTTGTAGTGTTCCAAAGTACCATTCATCAGAACAGTAATAAAAAAACAAGTAAATGGCATTTCATGAACAGTTGTTCACTTCTTGATGTTTTTGATGTTGTAGGCAATGTTATGTGGAATCTTAGGGTTGACATCATGGAAGACAACAGTGATGATTTTGGTAAGTATGGATTAAAATTTTGTAAGGAAATTATCAAAATATGATTCTGATTTAATAGTCATTGGTTAAAAGAGAAATCTCTTCTTTCTCCTTGAAAAAAGAAAAAACCTGTATGGTTGAGTCTCTCTTTTTAAATTGTAGAATCATAATTATTGAAAGAGGAGACCATGACTCCTGCATGGCTGGAGTCCTCAGTAAGGGCAAGAATGGACCATGTGTGGAAGAATTGTTAGCGTTGTTTACAGAACATATTTTGTGGTTTTGTATGTATAAGGAAGTGCTGGCTTAGAATAAATAATTTAGCTCTCTGAGGCAGTGCTGCTTAAACTTAAATGGGGGAAATGGCTTTAAAGCTTAGCTGAGTTGTAGTGTTTTTGATAGCAGCTTTGAGTGCAAGCCGAAGTCTTGCCAGCTTACAGTACTATCCAGTGTTACCATTTCAGATACAGTTGACATTGCAATTCTTCACATACCCCCAAAGGCCCCAAAACAGCTTTGTTTTCAGCTCATGTTGAATAATTATATCTAGATTTTATTTTTACATGGTGTGTGCTATAAGCCCTCAGATGTAACAGTTGGGCTGTAATTAGGGGTAGATGGTTAAGCTCCATCATCTAACTTCTCTGCTTCCCACAGCTGAGTCATGAGCAAAATTACAGTGACTGGTGAGTGCCACAGAATTTGTCCATGAGGAGGTGCTGATCCTCTGAGCAGATTTTGGTATGCTCAAGAACATGGTGATGCTGTTTCTTATGTGTTTCTGTATTATCTAAATTTTGGGTTTGATTGTCAGTTTGTGGACTTAGGAAATTTTATGATGCAATTGACATTTATTTCTGCTCCCTTTAAAAGTACTAATTCTTTCTAAAAGAAACCTATTTGCTGTTCTGATTCAGGATTTCAGGATTCAGGATTTTCATCTCTGAAACCTGCTGGAGTACACATATTTGCCTGCAGCTCCTTTGCATGGCATCAGTCTAGCTCCTCCAATAAAAGGCTGGTGTCTTGGCTCACAAAATGTTTCTCTCCATCTTCCTGTCTTTAGGTGGTGGTTTTTCACTGTCTGCATTTGTTTCTTTGTGAAGGTCCAGTCTGTTCTGCGGCTGCCACTTTAATCCAAGGTCTTGGTTGTGGGAAAAACAACCAAATTTTGGTTCTTTCCTATGACAGCAAGGCTCTGGTGCCGCAGATCCTTGGAGAAAGCACAGGGCTGCAACGCTGTAAGAGGAGCTGGGGATGGGCTGTGGTGTTTCAGTGGCTCATATTTTATCCTTGGAAGGGAGAAAGGAAGGAAAACACATTAGTTAGAGCTGTAGTGGACCTTTAGTAGCACCATCTGTGAGAGTAAATCAGTCTTGAAGAGGGATGGCTGTGATAAGACTTGTTAAAAAATAAAATTGAGAGCCATATTTGGGTTTTGCCATCCACACTGTCTTACAGCTGTATTACACTATGGGAAGATACTAGATAAATAATGTATCTGGGACACAGGGTACTGCAAGGCAAAATCAAATTATAATCATATCTTCTGTAGGACATTTTTGCAAGGAAGGCTTGGCCTTCAGCACTGCAGCCACTGAGAAACCTTGGCTCTGAAATCCTGCCTTGGATTTCGGTGTTTGAGGCTTTTCTGTTCTGGATATCAGTTAATCAGTTTTGGAAGTCAGCTTGTAACATGTCCTGAGGCTGATTTTATTTTGAGGCAGTGCCATGTTAACACTGGACTTGATGATTTTGGAGACCTTAATGATTCTATGTTTCTTCCTCTGCAGGCCTGTCCCAGTGTATTTAATGGGGAAAGAGAAACTTCCTACCTCCCCCTCCAAGTTGTTTGGGTATTGACTCTGAACCATTCTGGAGTCAATGTTACCCTCCATGCATAGAATCTGGTTCCTTCCTGTCTGGTCCTAAACTCCTTCCTTTCATACGGCTTTAAATCTTATTTTTAACTGAAGGAACTGATTTTTTTCAGAAAGAACATAAAATCTCCATTGTTAGTTTGTGTGTACTTGAGGGCAACTCACATCTTCAACAGGTCATGCTTACTATAATAGCCTCTGTCCTTACTGATATGCCAGTTTGAACTAGTCAATGCACTTTGAGTTTGTGTTGTATTCCCCGTTGTTGCCTGCAGCTGTACATGCTTTACTGAATACAAAAGCCTTTGGGTAGTGAAGTATCTTTTCCTTTCAGTCGTGTACAAATTAGTTGCAATCCTGCAGAGTGTTCTTTTAGGTGACTCTGGTTGTGTTTGTTTCTGGTTTGTTTGTTTTGTTTTTTTTTTTAACCAACTGAAACAAAGACTTAAAGTTAATCATCTGTCTGGTGGCTGCTTGGTGCTTGGGTTCTGCTGCTAAAGAGAAGACTTAGCTGTGATCAAATGAAAGTGCCAGTGTCCAGCGAGACACCAATTTATTATGCTGAGTAGAGTTTAACTGCTGCAGCTGCAAGCACTTGGGAGCAGTTCAGTATCTGCAAATGCTTGGATCAAGAAATTAACAGAGCACATGCAGACTGTTTGAATGCAGCTCTGGCTTTCAGCTACATCAAGTGCTTTATGCTTCTGTTGTTAGCTAGCATGACAGCTTTTGTGTTCATACATGCCATCAGTTTTCATGTAAAGCTTTGTGGGGTTTGACAGAAAAGTCAAAGTCTTGTGTTCAGCATGTGTCGTTCAATCTGGATTATTCTCATGTTTTACAGTATTGTAACAAGGATTTGAAATTTTTATTAGAAAGTTTTTTTTATAGTTCAAAAGTGTTAGTATTTTTGGTTTATGACAAAAATTTACAACTTTTCCTTTGAAAACAGAAAAGTTTATGAAATTCAAGCATTTATTTATAACCTTGAAAGTTTCTGAAGAATTTATTTGTAGTAAACCTTGTATGTAATTGAAAACTTTTATCAGAAACAAAATACATCCCAGCAGCCTTAAAATAAAGATTTTTTTTTAGGGCTGACTACTGCTATGATATCTGCACTTTGACTGATTTGCTTAAATATAACAAAATTTAATGTTTAGACCAAGATGTTTACTTCTGATGATGTTTTTAAATTTCAGCCCTGCTAGTAACAGTATAAGGCACTGTAAACAGAAGCTGCGTACCATGCCCCTACCCCTGAAAACCAATCTCTCCCTATTCATGTGCTTTATGATAAGCAAAGTCATTGTGCTATGGTGAGAGTTACTGTAGTAGTACCTTTTTTTCTTGATTTTTGAAGTAAAATAGCTCAATGTTAACGTCTTTGCTCATGTTCAGAACTCCAGCATTAGGTCACTAAGTGGTAATTATACAAAGGTTTTACAGTCAGTACAAGAAAATTAAAAAGAAATAATGCTTTTAAGTGTGAGACTATGAAAAGCCATTAGAGGCTTTTAGCCATTTTATGCTGCAAAAGCTTTTCCCTCATATGTATATATAGGGTGTTTTTGTGCTTTATTTGAAATCTGTGATTTTTTTATTAAATGAATTAATTTGACTCTTACTTGTGTGGTTTTTTTTTTGGTGACAGTTTTGTTATGAGTCTCCATGCTCTCACAACTGACAGAACTTTAGTAAAGTCTCAAAATTTTTAATTATTGCTATCATTGCTGTGCATATGTACAATTAATAAATTAAATTGCCTTTTCCTACAGGATGTTTATAAAGTATATATGTAGGCTGTATATGGATATAAGAGTTGGTGATTGTGGAATGAAAGTTTTTCTTTCATTGTAGTGTCTGGGTAGGCATCAGTCCTGTGTGCACATATTAAAGTGAAAGCAATTCCTCTCTGGCATTAGGTATTCCCTTCAATGGCAGCAGCAGCAGGACAACAAGCAGTCTCCCCATGCAGAATGAAAAATAGTGTCAGGGCTTTATTATGCAAATTTATGCTTCCTTGGAATCCTCAAAATGCATGATGACATTTTTAGCTGGAAGAGATAATCCATTCAAGACAATAGCGAATACTGTGTCTAACATTAGAATACACTTTGCTTTCGTATATTTTACTTCATATAAATGTTCCTCACAACTTTCTGCAGCTGTTCACAGTCCTTGTGTATCTAATGCTCAGAAGATGAAGGCTGTGAGCCAAACTAAAGCCTCAATTTGAGTAGTTTCCATTTTTATCTGCAATTAAGACCAGTTACCTCTGTTGTGACTTTTAAAATACAATATTTGCCTTTGTCTGTTTTTTCTAAGTTGAGAAGTACTTCTCTCCTCTGGGTGGGATCTTCTGTCACTGGGATAAAGTGGAATACCTGTTTTTATTTATAGGTGAATAGTGATGGAGAAGAAGTTTAAACTTTCACCTGCGGGAGAATATAACTGATAAAATAACCTAACAGAATACATGTTAGATTGAACAGTGAGGTGGATTGAAAACAAAGTGACTGGGCCCAGAGTTGTGATCACTGGCACAAAGCCAAGCCATCCAGAGGACAGTCAGCAGAGTTGAGCCCAAGGGGTGGAAACTGGGGCCAGTACTACTTAAGTGAGTGGTCTCTACAGTGGGACGGAGTGCACTCTCAGCAAGTTCACAGGTGATGCAAAACTGTGAGGAATGGCTGATATGCTAAAAGTTGCCATTTGGAAGGACCTGGACAGGCTGGAGAAATGGGCTGAGAGAAATCTCCTGAAGTTCAACAAGGGGGAATGCAAAGTCCTGCCTGTGCAGGGAAGTGACCCCAGTACACCCTGGGGAACACCTTGCTGGAAAGCAGCTCTGCAGAGAAAAACCTGGGGATGCTGGTGGACAACAAGCTGTCCATGAGACAGCAAAGTGCTCTTGTGGCAAAGAGAGCTAACTGTGTCCTGGGCTGGATTAGGCAGAGATTTGCCAGCAGGTGAAGGGATATGATCTTCCCATACCTGGAGAGGTGTGAGAGCTGGGGCTGTTCAACCTGGAGAAGAGATGGCTTCTGGGGGGATCTTCTGCATCTGTGTAAATGTGATGTGAGGGAATGAAGAATAGAGAGCTAGACCTTTCTCACTGGTGCTCACTGACAGGACAAGAGGCTATGGGCAGAACTGAAAAAACCAGGCAATTCCACTGAAACAAAAAAGATTACTTTTTTACTATTATGGTGGTCAAAAACTGGTGTAGGTTACCCAGAGAGGTTGTGAAGTGACTGTCTGTTGAGACAGTCAAAACCCACTGGACGTTGTCTTTGGCAGCCTGCTGTAGACCATTGAGTTCCAAGGCCCCTGTCACGAACAGGGACACCATGAACCTACTTGAGCAGGAGATTGCACTAGACAGTCTCAAGAGGTCCCTTCCAGTCTCGGTGATTCAGTGAAAATGCTGAGCAGCGATGGAGCAGAAAGAAAAAGGATTTTTTCTCTTGATATTGAAGTACCATGTATTGTCTTGTCCAATGTCAGATATGTAGTAGTGAATATTATGGTTATGGTTCAGATCATGGTAGTGTTTTAGATTGTATGTTGAGGAATTTTCTTATCTTCTGCTTCTTTTTCAGGATTATCTGAATATTGGATTATGCATCAAAAATAGACTATACATGTAATAAAAACCAGATCAAGATTACACTTATGTGTGGTAGGATTTACTAGAACATAAATGCAGAAATTGTCATCCTTGTTTTGCATATCTGTAATAATGTTCCATCTCTTCCTTGTTGTTCTTTGATTTTTACCAGGTTTCTTTAAAAAAATCTCCATAATTTTTAATTCAAAATTTTGAATTAGGAGTCTTGATTGTAATTTTTGTATAGCTGTACATGGAATTGTTTCTATTGCAGCTTCTGTACCAAAGGAGAAACCGTAAATGTGAATTTGCTTATTTTTTTCTTGAATCTTTCTTTACTTTGGCCACATAATTTCTTTGCTCCATTTCCTCATCATTTGAAAGAAGACAAATATACCTCTTCTTTTTCTTAATAACATGTCATGAGATTTTTACTATAAAGATGTTTTATGTTGAAACAGATTCTATTTCACTTTAAAAAATGGCTAATTCCTAGTTGTCAATGCCCTGTGTTGAATGTACTTCTTTATATGAAATGCCTGTGTCAAACGATTTTCTCAAAGTAGTTTTTATCAAAAGGATAACTGAGATAATCTAGATAAAAGCATAAGAAATGGTATAAATTCATTTGAGTGGTATGCAAGGAGTTAATTTTTAAAAAATCATTAGATTCTGTGTTCGTAGAGAAAAACAAATGTCACTCAGAATGCTTACTAGAACTAAAATCCTCTTATCTGTGTTTTCATGATTAGTAGAAAACTAGGGGAAAATACTCTTCCTCTTAATATTTATTTTGTTCTTAGTATGTCAAACACAAAATAGTCCCAGTCCTCTTCAGAGGAATACTAATAGCTACTTCAGTTATTGGGGGTTTTGAGGTTAAAACCTGCCTTATGGGATAATGTCAAACTTCTGTAAAGCCTACTAGTAATGAGATATTATAATTTAAGGAATGAGCTTTTACAGTAATGCTCTTTGGCTCTGATCCACTCATGGGTGATTATATTTCCCTGAACCTCAGAAAATGGGAACATATTTGTGCATCGACTCTGATTTATTTTTTTTTTCAGATTCCAGGTAGCTAGCCATGTTATATCACTTAAATTAACTGGGAAAGCCATTGTGTTCTTCGTGCATGTTTAGGAAGTCCTTGTTGCTGGATCTGCTCTAAAGCTGCCTGGAGAAGAACTGAACCTATGTCCCTCATGATTTCCTTCTTTTCCTCTTTTTTTTTGTCATGTCCTGCTTTTTGAATTTGGACCATTTTGTTACAAAGAAATCTGAATGATCAGGTTGTTATTAACAAGGATTCTTTAGGAAAATAAGGATCTGAAACTTGCTTTGTAAGGTTGAATGCTTAAAGGAGGAACCTAATTTTTATTTTGTCTCTAAAGTAGTAGTCTTACCCATAGTACTTTCTCCCAAAGTACAGAAAAATCTTGCTGTATGAACTGGGACATGAAAAGTTCTTATATGTGTTCAAAATCCATATCCCAAGTCACGTAAGTGCAGATTGTAAGGGCATAGGTGAAAGCGAGACATCATTTTATCCGCTGCTCTATTGTTTTATCAGCTACTCTATTACGCTTACCATTGCTCATTTTTCAGATGGTCTATAAATCTGAAGGTATTATCTGAATTATGAATGTTCTGGTTTTAGTATCCAGGAGGAAATAAAATCATATTACTAATCTCTTAAGTGTCTCCGTCCTCACTATACTGGGGCAAATATTTTTCAATTATTTTTGCTGCAAAATAATTCTGGAAATTCAGTGCAGAGTGAATATTGCCTTAATGTGTTTCCTCCTCTTCAGGTTTCTTTACTGGTCTGAATGTGTTGAGAGCTTAACATGGTGGAAGAGTATGACCACACAGTGGAAGTGAGAGGGCTTGCAAATCATACTTTGCACTCCAGAAAAAACTGTAGTTGCCTATGCTGTTACTGCTGACATTTTCAATAGTAGCATGTATTTTACTTCTGCATAACTAGTGGAGAATAAGGAGAGAGAGAAAAGACAAAGGTGTTGGGAATAGACACCTTGGGGCACTGAAGTCACGGGAAGTTTCGAAAAAGAAGCAGTGTTTTTCCCAGCTTCAGTTTGTGAGTGGGATTTGCACTGTCATAGGTTCCTTGAGTTGGGTTCCTGTTCCCACTGCAGTTAACTTTGTTTTGCTGTTCCAGAATAAACTGCTTATTCTGCTGTCTATCACCTGTGTTCTGCTGAGCTTGGCTGGACTTGTATTAGGATGTCAAGACATTGAGGTTTTGTCCAGAGTACCCAGATGCAACTTGGTGAGCACACATACTGATTTACATCTATTTCTTCTCATTAGGGTACATTAGCTTGTTGTGCTGAAATCACAAAATGTGCTAATGTAGAGCTGCAAGTAATTTAAGAAGATTCAAGCATAAAGGATTTTTTTTAGTAATGTGACAAATATAAAGCATAGAAAACAGCCTGAGTGGGTAATGGTGAGCTACCTACAAAAATCTTAGCCATTATAATCTGTGGGTGGGATTATTTTTCCTGTTTTGCCTCACCTAGTGAGGACCATTTGTGTTGATACCTTACAGCAGGAACTGTGAGGAAAAAAATAATATAAACCAAATTATACTAGCTATTCAGAACACTTCTATGTGATGAAGAAGCAATCTGCAAGACAGGGCAGAATGCAAAAGATTTTTCTGAAATTGCTGTCTTAAGAAGTACAAGAATAACTATTTATGAATGAAAAACTGTGAAATAATTGAAATTGAAGGATACAATGTGGGATCACTTGGTAATGAAGATGATCGTATGTAAAAGCTTGAAGAACTTTAAGAATTAATCGAAAGATCTTTAAATATCTATTTCCATTCCCTTATTGCTTCAAGAAGCCTATTGTTGATTTCTTGACATGCCAATGTATTTCAGTGAGAGTCCAAGACCAGAAGCAGTTCGTAATCTAGATTCACCCACTATCACTGTACTAAAGCAGCACTGAGAATTGATAATGTTATACCAGATGAGATGATTTAATGTTTCAGGAATTTCTGAGCCATCTGTGGCTAGAAGCATAGAGTACAGCCAAAAGGCATTCTTGCAGTCATTAATTACTCTGTAGAGTGGCTTCTATAGGTGGAAGAGTGTTGACATGACTATCAAGTTTCACAGCTAAAAACCCAGTTATCTCTAGGTATGAAAACATCAAGTTTCTACTTTGAAAACTAAGATGACAATATTAATTTGAAAGTTACAAACAACAACTAGTGTATGGATGTGACTATTAATGATTTGACCAGGTTGCAGTTATAGTTGTGTGTTTCATTCCATCCTTAGAAATGCAAGATACACTCATGAATCAAAGAAAATGTTGTTTTTCAGATAAGAAGTACTTATAATGCATGAATCATTGGCATACCAAACTGTTCAAGTTCAATTCTATAATCTTGTGTTTCCAGTCTTCTTTGTGGTCACAGGTTTAGTTTAAAATATAGATTCTATATTATGCAGGTAAAACTGTTGCACAAAGCAGTTAAAATTAAAAACTGGAGTTTTGTTTCTTTAAGATGGATAAGGAAAACAAGACCTGTTTCAGCTGTGAAGAAATTAATCTCACTAAATGCACAGAAGTAGAGACTGTACTGAAGGCATACTGTGTGAAGTCATGCAGTTCTGCTCACCTTCATCTCAAGGTACCTTGCGCACACTGGTCCATATGACTGCTTTTATAATGTCTGTGCTTGTGCAGTAGTGCAGTGCTGAAGTAGCTGCTGCGTTTACTGTGAAAAATTCTGTTATTTTTCTAGTCTTCCACACCAGTCAGAAGCTCTTCATGGTTCTGTTGGCTTTTTTGTTATCTCTGGGTTTTGATCAGTGCACTGCTGATCCAATAAGCGGTTTTATGCAACCAAGTGTTTTATTCAGCCAAAACTACAATGGAATCCAGACAAGACTGTATGGGCAAATATGAATGTAAATTTTAGCTAATGATTTGATACCCTAACCAGTCTTTCTAACTTCTCAACCTTTCTTGGCTTACAAACTGCTGAAATAAAACTCCTGATCAGCATAATCTTCAAATACAAAAAGAGCTTTAACATTTCTTTAATGGTGATTGTCTTGAATCTGGATTTCCCCCAGAAGTTAAGAGAAAGGTTATAATTCTTTGATGAATCAATGGACTATAAATCACATTTGAACTGTATTGAATCCTTCTGAATCTCTGTCAGGACAATCAATAGGACAAAGCAACTTTTTGCACATTACTCCAGTCTTGGAGACTTCATCACATATGTTTCTTAGAAGTAATTGCTATAGTCAACCCTATGTCTTCTGTGTTTATTTTTTTAATTTAGTTTATTATTATTATTATTATTATTATTATTATTATTATTATTATTATTATTATTATTATTATTATTATTATTTTAACATCTACAAATACCTTGATGTAATTTCTTTAATTTCACACATCTTCATGTTCTTCAGAAAGTTCTCTTAGGTCTTTGTGCCCTGAATGCTCTCACCACTACAGTTTGCTTGACAGCAGTTGCCCTGCATTTCTGGCAGATATTTGAATCAAGAAGATCCTGCCTAGTAAGTGAGCACCAGGCTGTAAACAGCGGTGCTAAAAGTATTACTAGGTTACCCAATTCAGCAGTTTCTGTAGCTCAGACGGGTTTTAACAGAAGTTTTGTTTGACTAGGGTGAACTTCAGACTGAAGACCAAGATGACAGTTTGGATCCTGATGGTTTTGTCCCACTGGTGCCACCTCCCTCCTATTTTGCAGCTTGTAATTCTGGTCCTCCCCAAACAAGTCACAGGTAAAATGGTACACTCTCTTCCTGTTTTTTATTGTCTTTGAACACACTGCCTACTCTTTTGTTTAAGACTTTTTTCTCTGTTATTGACTGAAAAAGTTTGTGACTTTAGGGGAAATAAAAAAGAAGAAAAAAACTTGTTGATTTTGGAGACAGCATAAATACAGTGGCTAAGGGGTAAAATGTTGTGGGTTTTACTTTAGATTCTGTAGGAACTGTTTCTGGGTAAGAGAAATCCTACAGTTTGACACAGCTGAAAACTTACATGATACTGTCAAGAGCAGGTCGGGGCAGTGAGGGGAAGCCAGACACAGGCACTTGGCAAGAGTTGTGTGAGAGACCCTGAATTGTGTCATCTCAGGGACCTTTCTGCCAGAGTGATTCCCCTTCTCCTGCTGGTAGTTAGGGCTGACTGAAGGGTATGTTTTGATTGCACTGCCAGGCCAGCTAATCACTATTCTGCAGGTGGTTATGTGCTCTTCAAAGTAATTTGCAGCTTGGCTTTTTTTATTAATTTATGACTCAGGTGGGGCTGCCTTATTCTGTTCTGAACATACAATATGATATATAAAATATGATGCTCAAGCAGACTGTCGCTCTACTCTTGCCTGAAGTCCCAACTTTTTGCAGTGTGCAGGACTGTTTAATTTATTTCACTGTTTCATCAGGAATAGTGTGCATGACTTTCAAGACTATGTGGTCCTGGCAGAGGTAACACTGATCCTAGGATTTCCTAGAAAATGGTATCATGGCACAGCAGAAGGTTTTAGAAAGAACGAATCCTCTGAAACACCAAAGAGCAAACATTACTAAAAACCTCCTATATAAGTCTTGTTTCAAGCTGCTTATGAGAACAGAATGTTATGTGATTTCATTGGAAGAATAAATATTTGTTGAAACATGCTTTTTAGAGTTCCCCTGCTTTAAAATGGAGCTGTCATTCTTCATCTGGCATATCATTCTACCATTCTACATGGTTATCTCCTTCCCAGCAGCAGTCTCTTTCTTTTTTTTCTTTTTTTTTTAATTTTTTTTTTTAGCACAATAGGTGCCAATGAACAATACTTGAGGCTTGTGTGGTCTAATTTGAGTAGCTACTTTGCCTATGACTGTGTTAAAACTTGTTGATAAGAACATTTAAGTGGTGGTGACATCTTTCTGAAGTCAGGCTACTTGTTTCAGGGTGTTCAGGGTAGTTATGCAGCAGTGCAGAGTTTAAAGCAACAGACAGGCCTAATTTCTGTCCTTGGGTGTGTTTGGAATGGATGGCCATTCTCTTCCACTCTTTAAATTGCAAAGGCAGAGGCTCTGCTATCAAAGCCAATTGGTTTGCTCACTTGATTGTGGGAGAACTTTTACACTTATTCAATGGTAGACAAAAAAAATTCGCATTACAAATGTCTGGTCAACTCCTATCTCTGATCTAATCATTTCACAAATAAAAAAATAGCAATTGCTTTATTTTTCAGCGTTGGCACCACAGAAACAGTTACAGCTGAGTTTCCAGATGAACAACAAAGTTGACCAGGAGTTGGATTTTTATGATCCTTATGGGTCCCTTCCAACTCAGGATATTCTGTGATTCTATGAAAATGTTATAAGACGTGAATTTAAGGGAAGAGGTGATCCATGTGGGCTAACAAGATAGTCGCCTAGAGCCTAGAAATCTACCTCAGTCCAATTTAAAGTATCGTTTGGGTACATCCTAGAAAGGATACTTATAAATAAGGGACTCAAGGGAATGTTTCCCTATTTGCATGTTCTGTAGTAAGTTTTAACATAATATAATTGTTGGACAGAACATTAATTTTCAAGGTGGGACTGAGCTGAGTAGATCAGATCAGGTATGGTTAAAAACAAAACTAAGATGCAAAATGTATATAATTTTGTGGCTTACATTGAATTTAAGTTCAGCATGAACATACTGGAAAAAAGTGAGCTAATGCCAAGGGAGCATCAGTTTCCATTGTACTTCAAAATTATTCTGAAGCTTTACAGAGCAGATGAAATAGACTGAAATTAAAAATTGTTTAACATGTTGTATTTTCCCCATTTTTAATATTAAAAATCAGTGACCAGCAATCAAAATAGCTACTTTCTTTTCCTCAGATTTCTCCATGCGTTACCTCCATTGCCCTGACAGGAGTCTTTCATGAAAGGACTCTCAGGTTCTCATTTTGGAAGTTTTATTCTTTTCCTTTCTGTGCAAGCAGTCTTTCGAGGGTGTTTTCATCATTCCTCTCAGCTTGCAAGAAAATAATTTTCACAGTCATCTTTGTTCCCTTCAACCAGTGTCCAGAGAATCCCTAAATTCTGGGACAAAGGACTTGCTTTTGTGTCTTGCATTGCTTTGTAGAAAGATGCATCCGCTTCTGATGCCTGTAGGCCTGATCTGGGTCCAGAGAGCAAAACATTGATTTCCATGTGTTGCTTGAGGTTACTGCTCAGTACTGTATCAACATGTCAAAATGTGAAAAATAAGCAGAGAAGAATTGAGATGTTTTGGGCTACAGACTTCTCTGAAGATTGTGTGGGAAAGGTCTCCTTGGTGACTCTGCTAACAACCACCACACTTTTTCAGTGCTAATGGGGTAATGTAAATATGTGTTATCAAAATTGGCATTTGCCAAAAAAAAAAGCTTTCTCCAGGCACTGTTCTGCTTTCTTCCTCTCAGAGATGCCTCCTAAGAGAAAGATCATGCAGCAAAAGGTCTTTGGGATTTCTGCTGTGTTTAAACTTTCAGAGAGCTCTTTGAAAACCGAAGAGTAAGGTTAGCTATGAGGTACATTTGCCTCATACAAGCCTGTTGTGAATTGATTAACTGTCATATTCTTAATCAAGCATTATCAAAAAAACAGCCTTTAGTTTGAATTTGGCTTTTTATGTGCAGCTGGACATAAAACACAAGATCAGAAGTGTCTAAGTTTTAACAAGGTTATAACTTTGAAATTAGGAGGCTTCAAGCGCAAAGTGTGGAAAAGGAAACAAAAAAAACCCATTTATTTTATTAACAAACTCGAATAAACAACAAATGGTGCAACCAAAACTTTCAAAAGAAACAAAACAAAGTCCCAATTCCCCAGGTTGGGGGAGAAACCCGCGGCAACCAGGGGGCCGAGGGCAAATTGTCCTCAGCAGCTCAGACAAGTGAGCGACCAGCAGTGGGTCCCCCTTCTCACAGGCACAGTCTCAGGTCAGGCAGCTCTGATAACTCAGTCTCACGCCCCGAAGGGCAGACTACCTCGCTACGAGATGGGTCGGTCTCTCTCTCAGTTGCTCTCCACGCCGTATCTGTCAGGGAAAAAAACCCCAAAACCTTCCTCTCAGGAAAAAAAAAAAAAAGAGGAGGCAGCCGAAAAAAACCGAAGGCAGCTCCCCCTCTGTCCATCGGTGGAAAAAAACAAATCCTCCCGACAAAGGGTTTCCAAGGCGTGGCCCTGGCCCGCCCTTTAGAGGGAACCTCCCCCCGCCGCTCCTGGCTCCCGCGCTGCCAGCGTGTGCCGCTCCGCTCCGTCTCCCCCTCCGGATTCCCCCCATCCCGGAAGAAACAGATGGGGAGGGGGGTAGGAGGGGGGCAACACTGGGGAAGAAATTCCAACATCTCTTTCCAAACCTACGACAAGAAGTATCTTGAATTTCTGTTATAATTAAGAATTCAGTAGTTCACACAACTCAGAGCTAGGCTGTCACATTTTGAGTGGACAACCTGTATTTGAATGTTTTGAAACAAAACTGAATCTCTGGAGTAAAACCGAAATGTGTTCCTAGGTGCAGTACAAAGATGTTTGAAGCTCTGGGGAACACACTAGAGAGGCACCTCCTAAGGAGCAACTTCCTGCCATCCTCTGAGAAAATGTCTCGCAGCTCTTGGCGAGTCCATTAGCTGTGGCTGAGATCCCAAAATCAGAGCTGGTACAGGAAAGCCAATGGAGTTTGATAGCAGATGACATTTTTATGCAGCTGGAAAGCCATACTGACAGATTTGCTCTGTGCTGTTTGTTGCAGGACACCTGGGCTTTCGTTGCCCCATGCTTATGCAATGCGAATCAATGGTGCTGAAGTGTTCTTCCGTCTGGAACCACCTCCTCCTTATGAAGATGTGCAGAGCTCGAACACCTCTGAGCAGGTATGGGCCACAGGAGCTTGAAGTGTGACTTATTCCTTCTGCGGTAAGGGTAGGGTTGCCCTGAGGGGTGGTAAATATGAGCCAGGAGGACACATTTGATCACAGATGTGGCTTACTGTAAATTTCACCAAAGATTTTAATTAATCACTTACCTCTAGAGTTGAGAAGTTTTCCCTGGTTGGAAAGCTCTGCCCAGGGATGGGAGAAGGAGCAAAAAGCCCCATGGAGCACACATGTTGATGGTTATTCTAGACCTCCTCGATTTATTTCCCTCATGGACCTGCACTAGTGGCATGAGGGACTAGATCAGGGTTTTGCTGTTTTGCCATGACTGGTGATCTCTTTTCACTGGTGTTTTCAGAACACAGGTGCTTTTTCCAAGAAATACTCAATAGGACAAAATTGGCTGATGAGGATGGTGAGCATTAATATTAGACATTCACTAGCCTTGATTTTGCAATGGAATTAAATACGTATCACATAGTCACTGTGTAGTTACGCAAAAGTGTTCTCTTTCTAAGATGGATGTTGCAGTTCTTAGAAAATGCCAGAGAAAGGTGATGACTTGTAAATTTTCAATTTTTGTATTTTATTCCAGGGAGATGCACTACAAATAAATGTAATGAACTCCGTTGATTTGGTGGAAGTGAGTGAAGGGCAGGACTCTCAAGGTAAAGAGTACATTTTAAAATTTATTCTAGAGCTGTTCTACCCAACACAGATAACTTAATGTAGCAGCAACACTATTAGTTCTTTGAAAGACACCGTACTGTAAACCAAAGATACAGAATCATTATTGTTTTGGGCAGTGGGAACAAGGATTAACATTTAAAATGCATAAAAAGTTGTTTGCAGTTAAGATATGAAAAGAAAGATGCATTTCCCTTTTAGTAACCTACAAGTTAGTTGTTGACACTACATCCACATGTTGCAACCAATGATGTCTAGCTCCAGTACTTCCTTTTGTTTAGTATATATGATGGGGCCTGTTAATGTTTTGTTGCTGATGACAATAGGAAAAGGATAGAATAATGCTGTACTGTGTGGATCTAAATTAGGAACTACTCTATTATAGAGCCTGAACTGGAAGAATTACTAAATTGTTTCTGCATACTGGTACAGAACATATTTAGATTGCTCTTACAGACCACATCAAGCTTTGCTCAGCACTGTTTAGAAAACCATGCCAACGGTTCCAATTAATTTTCAGCCTAATCTTTGTGGTGGTGTATGCTTGTGGTTAAATATTATTGGCTTCCAGGTAAGTTAAAGACAGCTTTTTCAGTATAGCCTCTGAAAATCTGTTCCAATTTTCATTTGACCTTGCCACTATGGCAAGATTGTCATTTGTGCAACAGATGGCTTTTTGCCTGTCTGCACAATATTCACACCCCAAAAGAGTAAAGACACTGGGGCAGGGGAGAAGCCCCAGATCTTTCATGTGACTGTGGCCTGTCTTCTGCCAACCTACTTCTCAAACTGTAAAAAAACTTTGATTTGAAGTGCATCAGTTGAAATTGTTCCTATTAAGTGGTGTCAGGGGAAAAAAAAGAGGTAGAAAAAGAAAGTCATACTTTAACCAAATGTCAACTTTGTCAAAATTCCCTTAAACTGACAGTCTACCTGAAACCTCTGAAAACAAACACTTGGATGCTTCTGGTGTCTTGTCAGCTGTGATAACCAGAAAGAAATCCAGAAGAGGTGTAGCAAAAAGTTTCATTCTCAAGGCCTGCTTACTGATAAGACTCCTGTTACTTTTTTGGAGCTCTTTGAGCACAAACAAAAATGGGATAACAAACACAAGGCTACATGGTGGCTTCTTAAAGTTATGAGAAGGGGAAACAGGAAAAGAATACTATAGAAAATCCAACTACTGTGAAGGACAGCCAAGAAAGTTTGTTTTGTTTTTAAAAAGGCTATGATGAGGCAGTGTTAGAAGAATTTGTATTTGAAAACTTCCATTGCAAGAAGCAAAGGTAGGTCTCTACCCGAGAACATATGACAAAGTGTACCCTCCACTTCATCATTTTAACTGGTTTGTCCAATATTTTTGTTTAATAAAGACGTCTGTAGAGGGACATTTAAATATCAGCCTGGCTGTTAAATTCAGATAAAAAAGAAAGTGAACATCTTAACAAAGAAAATTAACACTGCTTCTTCTAGATGCCAAGGCTTCCCAGGGGCAATGAATTCAAGAAAAAGAAATAGCTGTGCAGTATCTCTTCCTTTATTTATATTTAGGGAGGTGTAGCACATCTGGCTGGCTGGAGTTAGTTTTCTTCATAGCAAACCATGATGCTGTTTTGGATTTGTGACCAAAACAGTGTTCATAACACACAAATGTTTTAGCTCCTGTTTAGTAGTTCTTAGGCAGCATTGAGGCTTGCTCCATCTTACTCTGCTGTCCTCCCTGCAGCATGTAAGCTGGGGAGGGGACACAGCTGGGACTTATGACTCTGACCAAAGGCATGTCTCATGTCATACATCAACAACATCAACAACAAAGACCTGGGGGGAGTTTTCTGGGGTTGCCATTTTTCAGGAACTGGACAGGCAACAGTTATCTGTTGATGAGAAATTGCTTTTTCATCACTTGTTTTTCTTTGAGTTTGTTGGTTTTTTTATTTCCCCCCCCTCTCACCTCGTCTCATCTGTCCTTATCTCAGCCCAGAAGATCTGCCACTTCTGCCCTTCCAGTTCTTCTCCCCATTTCGCTGGGGGAGAGTGAGTGAGTGACTGAGTGACTGACTGACTGACTGTGGGGGACTGAGCCACCTGCTGGGGTTAAACCACAACAGGAGTGAAATATAAAATGGGGGCATATGTTGGAATTGTGGCAGAGTAAATCTATGGGCTGTCTCAGCTGATGCACTCTAACAGTCTATAAATAAAACCTGAACTTCTAGTTTATGTTGGCAGTCTGTCGTGCAGGGCATTTGTGTATGATGCCATGATTCCCTTGGCTTCATTAGGGCCGATCAACTAATTTTACTCCCGATGGAAGTTGAAGCTATGCACTGCTCTCTGCCAGCAGAACTAGGGGAATCCTCACTGCCGGCTGCAGGAGGAGCTCTAAGCTTCTCTATGCCAGCTAAAATGGTTTTACTAACTTCAAAAGCACTCCTGTCAAGCAGAATGGGACTTTCCCTGCTGACTGTAGTAGGAAGGCATGCAACCTTCCACGTGGGAGGAGGTGCTTGGTAGCTGCTCTGTATCTTCACATACTAGGTATATGCATTTCCAGTACACATTGCCTTAAGCCAATTATCACTCTGATGTCTGAAACATTAATATTATGGAGAATTATCATAAAATCATAAAGTTGGTTCATCGATCTGTCATAATCCCCGTTCCCTTCACCACTAGAGGGGAGGAGATAGAGTCTGGGAAAGAAGGAGGGGTGGGTAGAAGGTGTTTTTAAGCTTTGTTTTACTTCTCATTATCCTGCTTTTACTTTGATTGGTAACAAATACGACTCCCCCAGGGTAAGTCTGTTTTCCCTGTGATGGTAATTGATGAGTGATCTCTCCCTGTCCATATTTCAAGTCATGAGCCTTTCATTATATTTTTTCTCCCCCGTGCAGTTGTGGAGGGGAGGGATAGAGTGGCTTTGGTGGGTACCTGGCATCCAGCCAGGATCAACCCACCACACTTTTTTTAACTCTTGCATGAGCAAGAATATTGTTTTCTGTAATATGCCAGGTGCCATCAGATAGAGGTACAGAACCAGACTTAGTGAGAAACAGACATTGCTTCATCCTGTCCTGTGCACTAAATGCCAGTTATGGGAGTTGCAGCATATAATTTCACCCTAAGGAAAAGGAGGATTGTTGATTAGTTGGGAGGATGAAACATATCACAAGAATTCAGGAAAATCTTTATTTTAATAAAGAAGCTCATGAAACAAGATTTTTAATTCCTTTATGGGGACTGGTTTTTTACAAGCTACCTCACTGCAAAAGGTGACTGACCTCTCTAGCCATACACTGTTATAACGTGGTACAACTGCTTATCTGCAGGATGATTTTGGGCTCTGTGAGATTCAGCTTTCTCTCCAAGAAAACTGTAGCTCCCTTCTCTGTGCTTAGGTAGTTTAAGGTGATTTTTGTGCTAGGCAACACTGTACTCTTCTGTTGCTCCAGTTGCACAAGACTGAACAGTTTTCTGCAAATGTTTAAAGAGGCTTTAGACCACTGATACTGTTGAGTAACTGTGGGTCTGTGCACACATACATGCACTTCTAGGCTTTTGTGTCCATGGGGGGAAAAATCAGCAACAATCTCTATTAATGGTTTCTAAAGACTTGCTTTATTCTGACTACTTTTCCTTTACTGTTCCTGATTACTCATACTCAGCTGAAGTAATCTGCGAGTCTTCCAGCAGAGCAAGCCTTTCTCCTTCAAATGCGAGCTGCAGGCCTGAAAGAGTGAACAGGAGAACCCTCAGGTCCTTGCAGAAACAATCTAAAAGTGACTCTGTGCTTCTGCACTGCCACTCGCCCCAAGATGACTTGATTTTCTTTATCTGTGGTTATGTAATGGTTCCTTAAAAGAACATTTTTTAGAAGGTCGGTACTTTGAACCTCATACCTGCAGAAATCAGCTAGTGTCTCTGAACAGAGTACCTTACCTTACAGCAGTGTGTGTGTGCTTTGCTAAACCTCCACCCAATCCCTTAGCCTTGCTGCTCTTTCAGCTTTCACACCTAGAAACCGGGTTTGTAGCAGGCATTGCTAGTCTGGGTAGGAAGGAGAGATGGTGGAAGATGGGAGGGGGGCACACAGGATTTCCCAGTGCACTAACATCTAAAATCTCGCAAGGGCAGTTGTCAATATGAGCAATTTAAAGCACAATCAGCTTGCACTTTTGGTGCTAGCCTATAAATTTACTCCCCTTTTCTTGATCCTTATAGCATCAAAAACCCAAAAAAACCCAGAAGTCAACACAAGCCATGGTGGAGAGCAGATGAAGCTACTTTGATGTCAGTGATCCAATTCAGTTGCTGTGGGGAAACTGCTAGTGTGACTACAGAATCCTTGATTCTGCTGACAGTCCTAAAAAATGCACTAGTCAAGAGTCTTGCAATTTTTACTAGAGGATATTGGAATCTCCATAGTAGCTGCTGATACATATTAGCACTCAAAATGTAAATGCAGATGGGACGTTTTAGCAAGAGCCATTTATTTTGTATATTGGGAGCATGTCTATCTGGATTACACTTGCTGTTTTGAGGAATGTTTTCATGCCTCTGCTGTCTCATGTGTTTTCCCTTTTCCTCCTATCAACTTCATTCGCAGCACCCCATAGAATCTGCTGCTGAACAAATAGTTAAATGACACAGAGCCTGTTCACAGCTGTGAGAGCAGAGCGTTTCTGCTGTAGAGAGACTCCATGTCAGAAGCATTTGGAAGCTTTGGACCCAGACCTGAAAGTTAGTCATGAGTGCTGCAGAAAGGGAACTCACTGCAATAGAACAATGGATATTGCTTCAAGTTAGTGCCTTCTTGCTAGGAATTTTTGCATCTCCTTCTGGCATTGTGTTTGGTATAAAGCCAATGGTAAAGTCCTTCTTGAACAACCTGTAGGTACTCTTATTTATATTTTTTTTTAATAGGGTCAAAATCTGATTATTGTTGTTCACAAAAAAGGCAGTGGATTTTTATTTGGACTGAAGGCAGTCAAATTGATTCCTTCTTGCCCCTGTTTTAGTCCTTGTAATTTTGAATGTTTGAGTGTGTTTTCTTCCCATTGAATTTCCACTTTGTAGTATTACTAGCTACCAGCTTGACAAGCAGTTATTTTCAGATATTTTGTAACTAGTCCTTTTCACTGGTAATAACTAAAAGTTACAAAGAGCTGAAGAGAGATCATAAAAGGCTTCTAGCTTTGCTTAACCTGTTTTGTATAACTGTATGTTAACATTAACACTCAAGGAGCATTTCAGGTCTCTTCAGATCAGAAACAAAAGAGAAAAGAACCAATGTACACAAAAGGGCAAATAGCTTTCTCAAGGGCCCTTGATGTGATAGGCACTCAACCATAGCTATGGAGGATTCTATTTTACAGGCATTTTGTCTAGTGTAAATTCAATAGAACAAGTCTTTTATGTGGTTAAAATGTGCACTGCATCCTCACTGCTGAATCAGGAGTGAAATCACAGGAGTGAAATCACCATGAACCACGTGGAGTGTTTTCTTTGCTTCATCTTTGTCTTCAGGGACAGTGCTCAAATGTGAAACTGCAACACACAGCAATGTAAAACAACTCCATGCTGTCATCTAGCAGAAGAGTTTAAGAGCAGGAGATTTAAGAGAAAGACCCCAATATTTGATAGACTATAAGTCTTACACAGACATTAAATAGCTTGTGGCATGGATCATAGAACAGTCCTCATGCAGCATGAGCCCTGACATACATGAGTTGGTGGAAAATACCAAGTGTGTTTTAAAATCAGATGCGAAACATATGGCAGAAGCTATCACCATTGCCACTTTGCTTGAGCAGGGTTTTATTACTTGTATTTATCAGGTGATGTGGAAACCCGCAGCCTTCCTTTGGAAGGATATGCTTATGTTCACCACTCTGCATGTCAAAGTTTTTGCACTAAATTAACTTCCTTCAGTACTTTAGTTTCATGTAGGGACTATGCAAAAGGCTGCACAGCTGCAAGGTCTCTATCACCCACACAGAGAGGAAGGTTATCAGAAGACTGAACATCTGTGTATTAAAAAACTGAGCAAGTCAGTCTTCTGTGGTGGAATCATGAACTGTGAATAACGTGACAGTGTTTTATGCTGGGCGTGCAAGGGGAGAGGGAGGAGATGTTATAAATAAGCATTTGCTATTACAAACAGGAAGGAATGGAGGCTGACGAGGAAATTTTTATGTAAATCCACTAGAAGCAACTTCTTTGTGATTGGCTCCCAAGATAAAAATAAGATCTTGTGCTAAAGAAAGAAAAGCAGAAAATAGAAAACATGTGCTTACATTATTGGAATGAATATTCAGAAGTTTCAGACATTTCAGACTTCATCAAATGTATGTTTGGGTAGCTTATAGACCATTTGGATAGATGAATTGATTCATGCATGGTACTGGTAATTTGCTGACTAGTTTTGATTTTGGTTCTCATGCAAAACACATCAGTGTCACTTAGGCTCTGCAGAAAAAGTGAGATTTCTGACTGCAGCCTTCAGGCAACAAAAGCCTCAACAAATTTGACAGAAACAGCTAGGGAAAAAAAATTCCTTATGAGAACTTAATTTATCACACTGACCTGAAGGTTATTACAGTTCAATGGCTTCTGCAGGAAGCCACATTCAGATTCCTTTTAACCAATATAGGATATGCCATAGGTTGGGGTGAGGTAATTCCTGTGCACCTTTAAGGGGGAAAACAGAAACCAAATCAACCAACCAAAAACCCCACTAACAACAACATGAAAAATTACCCCACTACTTTTCCAAATTGGGATTGCTTTTGCCATGCCTCCTTGGCAAGTACCTGGGATTTTACAGCTTTTTAAATTATTCTTTAAACAGACAGCACTACAACTAACTTCTTCCTAATTGGGTAAGAAACTATTATAATGGAACAAGAACCTGAAATCAAAACTGATTTACCTTTTTTTTCCTTTTAAAGGTGATGGCACCTGCCTAGGAGGCCATGTCATTGAGAGTCCATGTGTTACCTTTCAGCTGGCGTCCTGGAGAGGACCTGACTACTTTTACCACAGATGAAGATCAGCTAGCAGAGAGAAGGATTTAAGGAGCAGAACATGAATGGCCTCACAGTCTTATTAGTGTTGTCTGGGAAAATGTACTTAAAGTACTGTTTAAAACTGGTTTCTGGTTATTCCTGAGCAGAGCACTTCTGTCAGACATATACACACTGCACAGGAAAATCATGTCTGACAAGAAGTGGAAAAGTGTGTCAATAATCTTACTTTTTTAATACTCTGATACACAGACAAGGCGTATTAAGCAGATCGCAAGCTGACCTTTACTAGGCTCTCAGTTGCATAGTGTGATACGTTGCTGTCCTGTTGCATCTCTTTGAAGTTTGGTAACATGCAGTTTTGGGGTATACATCATTCTTGTGGAAGGAGTTGTCAAAAGCAGTATCAAAGAACTTTGCTTATTATCAGAACTTTTGTTTGTATTAAAAACTCCAGTCACAAAAGTAGACTTCAAGATACTACGTAAGTTAGTAAAAAAAATTGTGTTCAGAATTTTAAAATTATTCTTTATAAAAGATGGTGTTGGTTTGCAAACTGAAAATATAAAGAAGTGCTCTTTTGGCTCAGTGAACTTCTCACTTAATGGCAGAATATTATTCTTGTCTTACTGACACAACAAAAACCAAAACCAAACCTCCAAAGCCACAGGTGTTTTTCAACATGAGGTGCTGGCTTGTTACCATCCCAGTAAGAAAGGCGCTCTCTGTATAGTCTCATTTCAGATGCTGTTTATTAGAGCAGATACTATGAAGAAAGAAGGTAGTATAGATAATTTCATATCCCTTCAGATGCTGGGAATCCCAAATTGTGCAGCATTAAACAGGGAGCAACAAGTTGTAAAGATCCCATCCATTTTACCCCATATTGATCATTTGAGGTATTTCAAGGTTTTTCTAGAAGAAAACAATTCCATTCATCATTTCTACTGTCAAACTGAAGGACGTTCATATAATCGTTAAATAAAAAGGATGTTCACATGGGACTTTACTGCTGCACTTGTAGACAAAGGTATGGACACATATACTACTGAGTTATTTGCCATTTTGAGTACCACTGGAGCTGCTTTCAGGCTCCTTTCTTACAATCAACCAGCTAAATTTATCCTGTGGCAAAGGAATATCCCTGAAGGTCCAGCTGTAGAAGCCGCACAGAGCAGCACAGCACAGGCCTAGCCCTACTCAGGTTAACGGACACATGGATCACCGACTCTTCCATGTACTGTGTTCTTCAGGTCAGGATTGCTGCCATATGCTTCTGAACTGAACATTTATTTAAATTGCAGTCCCAGCCCTGTTCTCAAACACTGTCAGTCCTTACAGTGCACCAGCATCACCTCTTCAGCCTGCAAGGGTGCTGGAACTGTGGTAGGGCCCGCTTGTGCGCTGTGTGGATCAGTAAAACACTGAAGGGGAGAGCAAGAAAAATGTCCCCTTTGAATAAGGCAAATCTGTGAAATTTGTACCTGTACTGCTGAAGTAAAGACTTATGTTTATCTACTGAAATGCAGAAAAGTTTGTAATACAGAAATTGGTATGTAAACCTCTAACAAGAATGGCAATAAACAGAAGGATGGAGGGTAGCACTCAGGGAAACACAGAAAGCAAGCTCAGCCTGTCTGCTGCACCCTTTACCAGAGACTTCACAATTTCTCCAATCTATGACTTAAGCAAATGAGGTGAAATTCTTCAGTATCTGATGTTGACAACATTTGTATTTCATATTATGAAAAGTCAGTGAGTGGCTGAAGGCCCATGTGTAGTTATCTTTTCTGAATCAGCTGTGGTGTGTATTTTCATTTCTGTAGTTTCAAAGTACTCATGACAAACCTACAAGTCACAGAAAATCTTATGAGGCCTCACCAGACAAAATGCTTCTTTTTTCAGTTGATTTTCAAATACCATCATGTTTTTCATAATCAATCCCGTATTATACAAATATTTTTAACCTTAGCAGAGGCCGTTCCAGGATTAAATCTAAGGACAGGCATATTACAATTCTACTTTTTATTTATTCAAATGGTATTAGGTCTTTAATAATAAACCATGCTGATGACATCTGAAGAAAGTGTATTTAAAGTTATTCAGTCAATGAAACAGTATTTCTGTCACATAAAAGGCATCTTGAAAAAAACATATTTTTTTAAGATGCAAATACAGTGACATTTCACACAGTAAAAACTGGGATGCCATTTTAGCTTAGGAATTGGCTTCATTCAGGAGCATCAGTGTCATGTATTACCTGGAAAGAATGCTGTTTTAAAGTTAAAAGTTAACAGCAGTGGTTCACACCTGCAGAAACATATATAGAACTACTCCAGACTAAGTGGCAAAAGAGAAGTTTAGACACCTTCCAGCCCCGTGTGCATTCAGCATTGGCAAGCCAGCCCCTAGGTCAGTATGAGCAAATTCTCAGCCTCGTCTAAGGTATTTTTGTTTTGTCATTTATTGTTGCAAATCTTACAGACATTAGCGCTCTGTTAAATAAAGGAATGTAGCACAGTAAATACATCACAACAAAATAACTGGCCAGAAACCCCCCACCCTGTCCCATCCAAAGCAAAAAGCCCACTCTTTTCACTCCTGCCTCCCCCAAATCAAACCACCGCAGCTTCATTACAGAGGTCAGAGACCTGTGGCAGAAAACATCAGAGTAATTACATTCAGTAGATGTGCAGTATCAACATTCCAGGCTCACATATATTTATATATATATTTATATTTATATAGAGAGATCATTAAATGTTTACAAAGAACAATATTGTTACAAATACAATACTATGCTTTTCCCAACGCTTTACAATAATTTCTATTCACCCTCTTTACAGAACAATAGTACAACTTCATAGTCTAGGTACTGCGTGAAATATATACAAGAGATCTCAACCACATTGCTGTATTCAGAAGTACATTTAGAAAACAAAGAAAGCTAGCAAACCTGGAAATCCCAACTGAGACTCAAATTCAAACAAGATTCAACACAAACACATGATACTTGTCAAAAAATAAAAAATATAAGGGATGTTTCATCCTTAATGTAAACACTGAAGAGTTAATTAGACTGTATGAAGCAGCAAGGATAAAAGAAAAATAATTCAGGTCTGTCACTGAAGAAGGAATGTAAACCTTTGAAGGAATGTTCCTTTGAATCTGTTAAAAATCCCCATAATCTAACCTATCAAACCGCTGCACCAGTCTAGAGAACAGCTAGATTTCCCCTTAGAGCTCCATTTTCTTGAAACTCTTTCTGTTTACGGAGTAAAATGGGATTGTTTACAAGACTGTTCTCAGACGTGTGCACATTCTATGGACCTTCCAGTTTAGAAATCTCACACACACAAGTAATTAGAAAAACAGATTTTTTTGCTAAACTCTGATCCTGCAAGCATTCACTTGCTTAATGTTAAGCACCTATTTAGCATGAACTGTTCAAGCACTCAAATGCCAGTAACTTCACAGACTTCTGGCTGCAAGATTTTCAAAGAAACAGTTGTTTCATCTCTAAATACATTTGCACATTCAGGTCTTCATCGTTTCCAGTGCACTGAGTTAAAGTCTTCACCACATGAGCTAGACAGAACCACAGAAACAAGTGAAGTGGAGGGCATAAACATAGCAGGAATCAGAATCATGATGACTGTCTTCAAGGGCTCACTAGGTTTCCTCAGGCAACTTATGGAAGGGCTGCACTGTATATAATCTTCTAAGTTGTACATGGTTATATATCATATTTACATATATTACTATATATATGGAAAGTTCTGGAAAAAAAGTTCAAATGATCATAAGCCAGATGTTTACAGTTAAACAATATACTCACAAGTCATTAATTATTTTGTTGCATCAGTCAGGTAGCAGAGTTAAGTACTAACTGGAATGCTAACAACATTCTTTTGCGCAATCTGATATTCTGGAGCCTTGGATTAAATTATGTAACAACAAGAAATGCAGTAAAAGCAAGTCATCATACATCAATCTCAACAGAAAAACATATTCACTTACTACAGTAGTTTATGCGCCTCTTCTTTATCTCCCTTAGACATCTGCTTCCCACTGAAATACTATGTTTATCCTCTAACTCTGATCAGCCCATGGTTATCCATGATTTGAGAAAAACAAAAAATGGACCTCTGGCAAGATTGCTCACTGGCTCTTGGCATTGTTTGCACCAAATCTGCACATGCACACATCCACTTCTGTGAATCTGCATAGTCATGTCTAGGATCATCACTGGACTGCAAATAACACTCATATTGCACAGCTCACCTCACAATAACTGAGGAACAAGGGACTATGACCAGCACCACCAGTGCAAAGCAGAAGTGGGGTGTGGCTATGTGTTGCCCGCCCTTGTTTTCATCTCACTGAGTCTTTCTATCACAGCAAAACACAGCACAAACTGTTTCTTTAAAAGAAATCAATATACTAACCTGGACTAAATGCATGGTTAGGCTTCAGTATAAACACCAGTATATAGTCCTGAAAAAACAGTAACTACAGAGAATGTAGAATTCTCCTCTCACTAGGAAAAAAAAGCCACTACTTCATTTTTATTTTTCCCCATCTAAAAAAACAAAGAACCCAACCCAGCCCTTTTCCCCTTTTGTCTCTAGCATGCAACTTAGAGGCCAATCAAATATTAGATTTCATACATCCCTACAGTTTATCATCTTCATACAAGTGCATATAGTACACACATATCTCCTTTAAGTGCCATACATAGGGAAAAAACTCACAAGTTAAATTATATACCAAAATAAATAAGTTTATTCCCACCTCATCCTTTTCACTGTTATCTATATCTTGAACTAAAGAGGAAGTCAATAAAATCAGACAGTCTTTGGACAAAAATATTTGTTAAAACTGGCTCAGAGAACAAAATTACTTAGAATAGTCTGCAGATCTCTTATATTCAAACTTCATAAATAGCAAGCACAATTTTAAAAATGTCTATATACAGTGGCACACGTGGCTATGTGCACCAAATTCGGAATTAAGAGCCTAGAAAAAGTGTAGCTATTCAGGAAATCCCCTTACTATTTCTCTTGTGGATATTTAATGATCCTCCCCTCCACTTTAACCTCTAAAATGGGCAGGGACTATAAAAGACATGTTGCATTTAAAAACAAAGCAGAAGAAAACAGGGAGTTAGAAATCTGGGGGCAGAGAGCGGGAGACTGCTGTAAGAAATGCCTCCCAAATTTCTTGGTGTAAGTAATACAAGTATAACATGTTTCAGTAATTCACAGAGTACTTTTTTGGGTCCTACTGTCATGAAGAACTGATGACAGAGGGGAATTGAAAGGTGTGTATTAGGACAATTCATTTTACAACAGCAGCATTTACTGAGTCTTCATAAGCAGGCAATTCTTCCTGAGGGCATAACTATACTTTTGGTATTCCACTTTCCCTATAGACATAAACCTTTAGTACTGAGCTCAGTGCCTGCGGGAAAATAGGACAAGAAAAGCAAAGTCACATACAGGATGTCCAAGAGAATGCTTTGTACCCTATAGTTTTATCTGTTACTCAGTTTGTAAAATTATAGCCACAAAATTACGTTAGCATGAAACAGAGCCATTTGTGAATACTCTGTGGACAATGCAGCTGTTATTTTCCTGTTTTGCATGTGGAGCTACATGAAGTTTCACTTGTAAAAAGATGCAACGAAAATTGTTCCATAGATGTATTTTGTCCCTTCCCAAAATACAGGAAAGTGGTGGGGAGAAGAGGAAAAAAGGATAGAGGAGAGAGTGACAGTGTATTTGTGTCTGTGAAGGGAGGAGAGAGAAAGAAATGTCTCTGCAGACACACAAATGCAGCACTAGAGAGACAAGCACTAATGGGGAAAAACATCTTCCATGCACATTGTGACGGTGAGGTGTCGGCTTTAGATGTAAACTGGTTGCTCTTGCGCAGTCAACAGTCTGTACATGGCAGCTGGCATAGTCTTCATATGAATCTAGGGGAAATAAGCCAAGTTAATTATGTTCCTAAACATACCCCATGTGAGAGAACTAGCTAAAGTCGTACAGGGTAGAAAAGAAAGGTAAAACTTGAGAGTTTTCATATCCTTATTAAAGTACTGAAGGTGGTGGTTTCATGAAACAGTATATTTAGTATCAATGAACCATCTAAAATTGTGGATACTTCATATTTTCAGATTAGGGTTCTTCTAAAACATAGCAGAACCATGGGCAAATAATGAAAGAAATAGTTTGCAGGCTTGCTCTCACTTCTGCTTTTTGGATTTGATAGTAACAGGCTAATAGAGGTATAGTCACAGAATTAGGGAACCGTTTGAATTGGAAGGGACCTTGGAAGATCATCTAGTCCAAACTGTGCTGTTGCAAGCATGGACATTTTTCACTAGGCCTGGTTGCTCAGAGCCCCATCAACCTGGCCTTGAACACTTCCAGGGATGAGGTATCCACAGATTCTCTGGGCAACCTGTTCCAGTGCCTCACCACCACTATAGCGAAGGATTTCTTCCTTATGTCTGATCTAAATCTACCCTCTTTCAGTCCAAACCATTGTTCAGCCCATTGTTCTGTCACTGGAGATCCTAATAAAAAGTTTATCTCAATTTTCCTTAGAAGCCCCTTTTATACACTGAAAGGCTGATGTCAGGTGGCTCTCTGGAGCCTTCTCTTCTCCAAGTTGAACATTTCAAACTCTCTCAGCCTTTTTTCATAGGAAAGGTGCTTCAGCCCTCTGATGCTTTTTGTGGCCTTCCTCTGGACCTGCTCAAGCAGGTTCACATCTTTTTTTGTGCTGGGGACCACAGAAGTGGAATCAGTACTCCAGGTGGAGCCTCACAAGAGCAGAGTAGAGAGGGAGTATCACTTCCCTTGACCTACTGGCCGCGCTGCTTTTGATACAGCCCAGGATACAGTTGGCTTTCTGGGCTGCAAGCGCCCATTGCTGCCTCTTGTCCAGTTTTTCATCCACTAGTATTTCCAAATTCTTCTCTGCAGGGCTGCTCTCAATCCCTTCACCCCCAGTGTCTACTGATGTTGGAGGCTGCCCAGACACAGATGCAGGACCTTGCATTTGGTCTTGTTGAACCTCACAAGTGTCACATGGGCCACTTTTCTAGCCTGTTCAGGTCCTTCTAATGGTATCCCTTTCCTTAAGCACCACTGAGCTTGGTGTCACCTTCAAGCTTGCTGAGGGTGCTACGTCTATGTTACTGATGAAGACATTACAAAATATTGTCCCAGCATGGTCCCTTGAAAGACCCCACTTGCTACGCTGGTTTCCACTGGTTGCTACTGGTACCAGCAATGAACTGTTCTACACTGCCTAGAGACATTGCCAGTTCTTACCTCACCAACAGCATTTGAGAGGATGTGAACAATTTTCTCATGGGGTGTTGCTACAACACTCTGCCCATTGATTTCAATAATCCGATGGCCGACACGCACACCTCCTCGCTCTGCTATACCCCCTCTCATAAGGCTACAGATCTGGAAGGGAAAGGACAAATTTATCATGGGCTGGATAAGGAACAGAAGCTTTTTATTACCCATTTTTGCCTACAAGCTATAAATCAACATTTAAACACAGGGACTCCCAACAAATTCTAAAATGTTATCAATCACTGACTCAAAGCAAAATTTGTTAGTGACACGTAACTAATGGATATTCTCTTCCAAGAGTAGAATAAACTGTCAGAAAAGGCTATGTTGTACATTACATGTCTTGTGAATAGGAAATTTATGAGTGTATGAAGGATGTCAGTTTAACAATGTTCATGATGCCTTACGAAAAAAGAGGATCAAGAACAGGCTTTTTCTTTTGAGGTCATGAAATGGCTTGGTTAGAGACATGAATGATGCATGATGAAAGCAGACTCTGTTACACATTTTTGGTTTTTTTACAGTAAAACAACATTTCTGTTCCTCTGGTTGACTCTAAAGTTGTGAAGTAAGGAGAGTCAAAGAAAAAAATAACTCTTATTAAACCAACTTTTATATTGGAGATTTAATATATGCAAAATCCTGCTTGCTATGAGGGAGAAAATAGCAGCTTGACCAGAGAGTGTGGAAGCTACTTACAATCCCATTCTGCACACTGAAGCCCAATTGATATCTGAGGTCTGGTCTTCTGATCAAGACTGTGGTTACTGGAGGACATCTAACGATGTTCAGTTTAACTCGGGCCTGATTTTTCAAACCCTGTAAAAAAAAAAACAAACCATGAAGGATGCTGGCAAAGAAAAAGTTAAACATTTAACATAAGCACTGTAGGGGAAAAAAAAAAAGAGTTAAAACACAGACATGGGAATAGCCCTGAATAAATACATCTTTGTATGCATTGTAACAGAATCTGATCACTGAATGCCAGAAACAAGCAACAGAATATTCAGTGAAATAAGTGATAAAATATTAAAATTTTCTTGCCAAGAAGCAGACACAGTTGTTTTAGGAAAACCAGATTCCTGCTGGCAATTTCTTCATTCGATAACACAAATCATGCATGAAAGGAATATTAAACAGGTCTATCCAACTCACCAAAAAAATCCAATGACTTTTCAATAAGTAGCTAAGATAGTTGCAAAAAAGTTGCTTCCCTAACAAAATAAATTCAGTTCTGTCAAGCAAACAACAGGTCCTGCTCATATCATCCTTATATAAGCAGTGCTCCTAATTTCCATTATTCACACAATTACAGGATGGGTAAGGTTGAAAGGGACCACAGTGGGTCATCTTATCCTTGCTCAAGAAGAGTCATCCCAGAGCACATGGCACAGGATTGCATCTAGAGTGTTCTTGAGTATCCCCAGTGAGAGAGACTCCACAACTTCTCTAGGCAACCTGTTCCACTGTGCGGTTACCTAACACAAGTTCTTCCTCATGTTCACATGGAACTTCCTGTATTTTAATTTCTGCCTCTTGTCCTATTGCTCAGCACCACCAAGAAAAGCCTGAAATTAGCTCAGTCGGTTAAAACTTGGTGCTAATAATACCAAGATCATGTGTTCAATCTCCTGTATGGGTCATTCACTTAAGAGTTGGACTCAATGATCCTTGTGGGTCCCTTCCAACGCAGAACATTCTGTGATTCTGTGACTCCATCCTCTTGACATCCTCCCTTCAGGTACTTACGGACATTGATGAGGTCCCCTCTCATTTGCCTCTTCTTGAGGCTGAACGAGCTCAACTCTCTCCTAAGAGAGATGCTCCTGTCCCTTAACCATCTTCGTGGCCCTCTCTTGGACTCAATCCATGTCTCTCTTGTACTGAGGAGCCCAGAACTGGACACAGCACTCCAGATGTGACCTCAGCAGGGCTGAGCAGAGGGGCAGGATCACCTCCCTCAGTCTACTGGAAATCCTCTTCCTAATGCATCCCAGGGTATCTTTGGCCTGCTTGACCACAAGCACACACTGCTGGCTCATGGACAGTTGCTTATCC